ATCCAGGTCTGTATTACTTCCTCAATGAATTTTTCTTAACTTATAAATAACATTACCTCAGAGGTGATGCTGTGAATGAAATGTGAAATCATCCGTTAACTTTTTAGAAGTTCATATATAATATTTGTTCTTTGTGCCCATGTGTGCATGAATAGACACACAGAACTTAGAAACCTCATGTTGCACATTTTTTTTAAAATCCTTATTATTAATTCAGCTTTTCCGGTTAAGAAAGACCACAGTTTGCTTGGAAGATAAGTCATGCTGCTGCTAAACTGTTATTTTTTTAATATAATATAAAGACCTCTGGAGTCTTGATAGTGCTTTTAGCTAATCCCTAGGAGCAGAAAGCCTTATAAATTATAAACATGTGTATTAATTTTTAAAACAGGTCTAAGAATGCTACCCCTAAGGAATTGATGGCCTAGAGCAACAGAACTTCGCAAGGACGCACATTAATTGGTAAGTGAAAGTGTAGGGTTTATCCCTGAAACGAACAAATCTCTATTCCCTCGCTCCACCCCTAAGGCCCTAGTGCTTGAATAATTTTTGCAAGTATAACTTTTGAAAATGTTGCCCTGTGTTCCCATGAGGATATTCAACAACCACAAACTCCTATTTTAATACAGCCTCCCCAAAGAGGGCATTTTGTAATACCCTGCCATTTTAAGAGCTCTCCTCAGATGTGAGGTAAGAGTGTTAACATCTTACAAAATAGTAACTGCTCGTGAAGTTGTTAGCGAGACAAAGTGAGCACTGGGTTTATTTTTTTGCTATTAACTCTGGTCTCGTTGGAACAGGTAAAGATCAAGATCTTTGACACCAGGCTTCCAGTTATCTTATCCTGCTTTAAAGCATTTCCAGGGCTGCATAATCCCACTTGTTTGCTAACTACATCTTTTCCTCCAGAAAGACATGAATAGCGAGAAAAGAATCTGAAAAGGAAATGCCTTGCTCCGCAACCACTTCTCTGTTGGCTGTCACTTGCAGGAACAGCACTGGGTAAGGCTTACCAAGTTGAAAACAAAAATTGTTTTTACAAGATTACTGAGCTAGTGCAGCTGGAAATGCTGTTCTTTAGCATTAGGCAACTGTCCTTGGGCAATATTGCCAAGACCGATATCGTCGGATGTATTTAGTATCCGGCAAGCGTGGCTGAACTACCAGGACTGTAACCCTGTCAGCATTTACAGATGTGCTCTACTTCAAGTCAAAGATGACATTCTTGCCCTTCTAAAAATGGGATTATTTATCAAGATGAAGCTAAGCAACTTGTATGGTGAGCGGCAAAGTTTCTTCCTTGTAATTCTCTTCAGATACAAAAGATGTGGTGGTGTAAAATCCCCTTGGCACCTAGTGAGTGGCCTCCTTTTACTGTACACACTATTTCACAGAATGCTTCACGCATTCCTGCATACCCTTTCTTTTCACGGCCGCATGTCAGAGCAGTAATTGTAGATCTTTTCTATGCTTGAAATCTTTCCAGTTAAAATTACAAAGGCCTTCCAACAGGCATTGACTGAAATTCAGGTTTCGGTATGAAGCAGCATTCTCTTCTGAGGCTAAAGTACCAGTTGCTTTTGGTATAACGTACATGCTGTAGTGAAACACCGCCTTGCTGTTTGTGATCAGGTCAGGCACACAAATTATACTCTTAGCTTTATTTCTGTATGCTACAACCAGATGTGAGTGTCATTAGAAGTATTTGTTGGGTGTATAATTAGAACAGTGCATGTAGCTAAGGGAGGAACCAACGGTGCTGATCAGAAAAGGCGTGAACTCGGCTTTCCCTGTGTCACTGCATGTCAGGCCCGCTTGCTGATGTCAAAAGGAAGCAGGGGACCGTTGCAATCTGGCTGGATTTCCCAAGTACTTCTGAAAAACATCTCTGCATAACCTTGGCTCAAAGTATAGTGGATAGACGAAAATATTAGTGGGAAGACATAACAAAATGCTACACTATCGCTTATATAAATGGGGCTCCGCGCATGAGAATATTAACCCAGAAAAGTGCATTCCCCTTACTTGTGCAAAGACAGAGGGATACTGGCAACAAGCGAGGAAACAACAGCAGCCAATGAAGCTGGGGAACATGAAAAAGTCCTGAGCACCTGGAAAGCCCTTCTAACTTTTCCATGTCTTTGACTATACCGAACTGGCATCTCTATTTTACATTTTACATCATTATACATACATCATTACAGCATCTCATTTTACATCAGTAAAAATCTCCTGCCCTTCTAGAGCTGAGTGCTATTGAGTGTTACCGTGTGCCACTAGCGCAGTCTTAATGCCATCAGACTGGGGATACAAAGGAAAAATAGCTGCACAGAAGCAAGATCAGAGCTGGCTGCTGCCAAGTCACAGCAAAGCTCGGCAACACTGAAATGCGTAAGCTGGGAAGGAATCCTTGGAGCTTTATACTAAACTCACAGTTTTGTTCTTGCATGAAGCTAGCTACAGAAGAGGAAATTTAGTGTCTTGCAGGAAAGTACGTATGGAGTCGAAGCTGGGACAGAAGAACAAAAGGCACCAGTCTGGAGCCAAATCAGAATGTTCAATAAAGTTTTCCCGTATATGAAGGAGAAGGAAAGCAGTCTGAAAAGCACCTACTGTTGCACCCGGCAGGTGCATTAAAACTCATTTACTTTCATTCTACAAAGGGAAACGCAGTCACTGTTTGGTGACTGGCATGCTGGACTACTTTTCCCTCTAGCTTTGTGCACAAAAATCAGTTCAAGTGTGGAAATGAACCTGAGTACGGGAAAGTGAGCCAATACTGTCAGCACAGAATAAATGATGCAGCAGTGGCAATAATATATCTTTTTCCAGAGAAAAGACGTTTACGAAAAAATGTCATTTCCTATTTCAGTACAGGTAAGTTAGACTGCAGGAAGACTGTGTGAACTTCCCAGCTCTCAATTACATATTCACACATTTGTAAAGTTCCAGAAACACTTTATTTAAAAATGGAGTTGTAAATGCATATAACAAAATAACATACATAATAAATGTAACAAAAATAAATAAGGAGAACATGTTCATACAAAATAAGAACATAGTAATGCAAAATGCTTATTACAGAACGTAAAGGTAGAAATGCCTGAAAGAACACAAACAGAATCTCGCATGAAGAGCCTGCACCTTTAATCCTTCCTAGCCATTTCCTACTTCCCACTCGAGTCTGCGGAAAAATTATGTTCCCAAGCATTAAACAAAAGAAGGAATTATGGTGATGGTTTGGTACACTCGGTTTTCAACACCTAGCTCTAGTTTCAATTTATTTTTGCCCTTCTGCGCCTTCTAAAACTTTTCTTGTAGCCTCTGTAAACTAGCGTAGTTCAGGCTTCCACAGTTAGCTGGAGTAGAGCATATTGAGTCATACATGAAGGCTGTTCGCTTTTAATTTTTTTAAAGAAAATATGAAATCCATTATACAACAGATTAGTGGTTTTGTTTTTACATCTCTACAAAAAAAGTTTTTGCATTTTTATTAACTGGTCCAACTTTTACTGACTTCTGAAAGCCTGTACAATTTAAAAGTGTACAGAAAGTAGTTTTTTTAAACAAATGTCATATAGGATTATTGCTGAAATATTAAAGACCATTTCATAAAAGCTGCAAAACTGTATCTTTAACCTTAATATATAGAGACTGATGCAAACATAGGAAAATTCCAGTCTATTAGTTACATTTAACAGAAATAACATTCCTCCAAATTACAGTGTTCTGGAAATACAAAGTAATTTACTTTTTTTTATTATTAATAACATTCCTCCAAATTACAGTGTTCTGGAAATACAAAGTAATTTACTTTTATTTTTATTATTATTTCCAAATGTTAAGTTACTGGGACAACTTATAAGGAAAATAGGCTTATATAGGAAACTTTAAATAGACTTGCTTTTCAGTGGCAGAAGCAAAATGTCTATGTTAGCAGTCGTCTTCCAGAATCCTTTTAAATATGTAAGACAGAGACAGCTTTACTAGCAAGACTACAGGAAAATATACAGAAGCAAATAAAATCATTTGCTTGGGAGTGCATCTATTGATCAAGCAAATTATGACAACTCTATTTCCAAGTCCCCTAAAGAAAATTTTACATCTCATGATCATTCCAAGGAACAGTAATTTCTTCCGTAAGCTTATGTTGCATTTGAATTGGTGAGAGCCCATTTGCCTCAATATGCTTTAAAATGTCCCATGTTGCTGTATGTTTAAATTTGTTTCCTAGTTTCAACCAACATTTGGACAGAAATGAGATATGAAATACTTCTACTTTCATTAACATCAAAAAGACATTTGAAGAAGATCAAAAAGTGCCAAATAGTCCTTTCAGAAAGTGGATTAAAACACTGCAATGATAATACAAGTATAGTATTATCAGTTTTCTATGTACACCAAAACACTGCTTGCTGTTTAATGATATCGATATGTTCACCTATCACTCCCAGCAAATCTTAGTGCAAACATAATATGTGGACTTTGTAAACCCCAAGACAATTTACGCAGCAACAAGGTTATATAAATCACAGAACTGTTTGAGATTTTCAGTACACAAGAATGAATGCTTTCTGAAATCTGTCTTACCTTTTGCAGTAATGTGTCACTGTAGTCAAAGATATTGTTTCCTATATAAATCATCTAATTCAGAATCAAATGTAACTGTTCAACAGTTCTGTACAAACTTTAGTGGAGGAAGTCCATTCATTAGAGCAGCTTGGCAAAGAGATCTGGGGTTTCAGTAACATTAGATGTTAGACTGCTTGCATGGCTTTTAAAAAGAAATAAATCTATTAAGGGAGAACTGCTGATATAATAATTCTTTTGCAAAGCACACAACCACAAAGGGCAAACCTGCCACAATCTGCTTTCCTACACTGGTATCTATGCATATCTTTATGATTTGACAAGGATTTGTGTGACAATCAAAGCATCACAGTTAAAGAAAACTGGTTTAATAAAACAACTGCTGCTTAACCAAGACTTTTTTTTTTTTAAATTATAAAACCAATATTATAATTTTTCCTTTATTCCTAAACATTCCACATGAAAGGTGTTTGTATCAACACTGAGATGTCACTCACGCAGGGTGGCATCTTCCTCTTCCCTATCTGGATTAAACCTATTGAAACGTATGCTGCAATCAGACTCGGATTCAGCATTCTCAAATTCAGCTGCAACAGGGACGGCAGCGGGTCGAAGAGCCCGAGCTTCAGGCTGGCAGTTTGGCTGCACTTGAGGGCGGGTACTTTGGGAAACGGGACTGGACTTCGGTTTCGGCTGAGCTGGTAAGATGGGGCTGGCGAATCCCAAGTTGCTCAGAGCATCCAGGGTACCATCAGGGTCGATCATAGCATTAATTGCTAAGCAATCAAGAAAAGATGAAAGGGATAGGGAAGAAACCATAAAAAATACGATTTTCTGTTACCACAAAAAACATGAAAATCCCGTTCTAACACTTTTATTTTTATAATCACAGACATGAGCTTTTATGTGTGTTGCCCACTACAAAGGGGTGGTGTATCCACCATATATGTAGCTGACATATTTAAAAGCATTTACATATATCAAAACTTTAGATGAAATGAAACTGCACAAACTAAAGACTGCCTGATGTGTGGACAGGAAAGAGAGATGACAAACTGTCTATGATTAGCTTATAGGGACTGAAAGATGGGCTTTTTAGTCATGTTTAAGGGGCTTTTACTCTAATATTACCATTCTATTATGCTTCATTCAACAGCCCCCCCCCCGCCAAATATCCATAGCTGCTAATTCCATGATTGAATGAAATTTGTACAAAAGAGCAATCATTTATCCTTTTTAATGCGTAACGATGGACTTATTGTCCCTCTTCCTCCACATAGTGAGGGCAAACTGAAGCACCTAGTACAGTTTCATTTTACTGTACCATTAACACGTTGTCACATTTAACAGAACTTCTCTCTTTTTTATTTCCCAAACTGTGTTACATCTATTCGAACACTACTGCGTACACAAGGAAATTATTTAGCCTCTTTCTCTGGGCCTTATTTCTTTGTTATGTTCTCTAAACACAATATAATTTGTAATAAATTAACGTTTTTTAATTATTGCTGAGTATGAAACAAATACCAATTTGTTTATAAAGGTGGCTAATGATTCCTCCTGAAACATTCTTTTTTAAAACATGTTTTATTGTAACATTAAATCTGAGTACTAAAAATAACAAATATAGGCAATTTACAACAAATACGGTAGCGATTATATATAAGCATGGACCACTAATCCATTTGATCACTCCAATTTACGCAATCAACTAAGTATAAACAGTACACAAATAAAATTGCAACTTCTTCTTAAAAAATACTCAGTTTTTAGGTTGATTTTGATAAATGGGATATATGTCTAAATAGCAGACTTTGTAAGCACAACATACTTCTTTCCATTTTACACACAGGTAAGTCTTTGCACGTGAAAAGCAAAGTAACTTTTCTATTTTGTAGTCTGTGGACTCCACAGTTACAAAGAGTGGATTCAGCAGTGTGAAGGGAAGATGTCAAGAGCTAATCCTAAATTTTCATTTTATTGTATCAGATGAAGTTGGGGTTTTTTGAGATTTCCTATAGATTATGGTCCCAGTGCATTCTTTATACTGAATTGTGCTACACATGAGGGTATTACTGATGTGCAAAGGCTATTTTATAAAGCCTAATCTCAGGATTCAATATTTAAAGCCTAATCTACGCTTCAATATTTACCCACAAAAATATCTCTATTAAGAATGTTTCACAGATAATTCCTTTAGGATTCTCTGGACTATTTCATTTTTAGTTGAGCCTTTTCTCAGCCATATAAAAAGATATCATCACTCTCCTGTTTTAAAATAATTCAGTGATGTTTCTTTACCAAATGTGCCAGCAATTAAATATCTCTATTAAGAATGTTTCACAGATAATTCCTTTAGGATTCTCTGGACTATTTCATTTTTAGTTGAGCCTTTTCTGCCCCATATAAAAAGATATCATCACTCTCCTGTTTTAAAATAATTCAGTGATGTTTCTTTACCATGTGCCAGCGCAATTATATGATACTAATGTACATAACTGATACTGTGAATATATTTGAATAAAATGTGATAACTTTGTTTCATGATATGTGAATATATTTGTATAAAATGTGATAACTTTGTTTCATGATATACATATATATAGATATATATTAAAAAAAATTTAAAGCAAGCAACAACGAAAGAGAAAAGTGAAAAAAGATTTGTACCTTGCAGCTGTTTCTCAACTCGTTTCAGTTCCTGTAAGATCGATGATATTTCCTAGGAAAGAAACAAATGTGTTTCATTAAGGAAAAAGAGACTCAAACTACCTATCAGCAGTAAACAATCCCCCTCCCCAGCCTTTGCAATATGCTATTTGTTGTCCCTCCTGGTATGCCAGGTTGTCCCTCCTGGTATCAAGAACACCCTTGCTGGTGGTGGCCCAGCCATGTCCACCATGGGTCCTGGGTGGCAGTGCTTGAGGCTGGACAGCTGTGGCCCACTCAGAAATCAAGAGCTCCTCCACACTGGCTGATCACTAGGGTCAACAAAACCTCACTCTGTCCCTTGCTCATCTGCCTGCGCTACTTCTTCTCAAGCACAGACTTATAGACACCACGGTTCTGTCGAAATGGGGCAAAGTAACAGCAAACCTTTAAAGGAAAGTTACAGTATAAACCCAGTATTAATGGAATAGGGTGATTTACAACCTTGTTCAGATATAAGTCAGAATAGTAAGATGACTGCATCGGGATTTTGTCTGCAACCATTGGGCCCTGTGCCCATGAGATCCTGTACAGCACACCAATGTTGGGTCCCCAGCACTCGTTTGCCTTACAGATTTTTCTCCTCTGTGCTGCACTACTTGCTAACACAGATGTAGCAACAGCAACGCACTCAGAAACACAACAATCATTAAACGTACCACATCTTAAATGATAAATATGTAAATCCTACAATTGAAGGATCCTACACTGAAGAATACCGTTAATCCAACTGCTGAGGAGAGCTATCAGTGGTCTTCAAAAGCTGAAAATTTTCAAAGGCACTGGTTTCCAAAACCCTTTTAACCCGTTTCAGAAACCCATTCAGTATTAAGTAATGTGATTTTTGTGGGTGGCAGAGAGATTGATTACCTTGGATTTTACAAAGTCATTATCTTTAAGCAGATTCCACATCTGAGCTGGACATAAATGTACCAAGGACAAAACAAACATCCATTACGATTGTCCTCTGTTAACTTTTAATAACATTCTGTGGTAAAAATAAGCACTGCATTTGAACAATATATTGCTCTGAAAACTGAGCAGAAACTTGAAAATCCGTGCATAGACAAAAAAAGCCCCATACACTTTCAAACAATGTGAGATGCTTTAATGCATTGAAAGAAAATTTTGTAAAATGCTGAACTTAGGAATAAATATACAACTAAACTTTTTCTTTTTTAATGAATGCCTTAAAACCCCATATTCATGGCATTTAGAATATAAAACACTAAACTCTGATCTTATTCTGGAAATGGATAGGATAAGAGAAACTCCTTCTATCATCATACTTCTAAAATTAGAAACTTCCATGAGTAACTTCCTTAATTTAAACTTTAAAAAAAAAACCCAAAACTGTCAGTGTATCTAATAAACTATAACACTGAGTTACTAATGATTGCTTTTAAAAAATATACCATTCTGCAGAAATTACAGGCCAAGTTTTTAATACTTCCAGGAAAAATCAATCTGGATGAGTTTAATACTCATGGTGAGCTAACAGAGAAGTGCTAGCCAGTTCAATGTCAGAAGAAATGTGTTCACATTTTGCTTCTGAGCAGCCCAGCACAAAGTATGTGAGAAGGAGTTTACTCTCCCAACTTTCCCTCAGAAAAGAAAACTGCCTCTGTAAGCTGACATTCTTAACAGCACGGTACTCCAGACGGGATAATGTAGCTAGACTCTCCGCCTGCTCTCACATGCAGAGATGTTTTTAAAACCCTACGCTCTGTGTCTAGAAGCAGAGAAGAGTACTAGGAAACAACATGTGTGCTCCGTTCCCTCACACTGTCACACAGTCTGGTTATGAAATGGCCCTAACTAGGCAGGGGTAGAAGAATACATGAATCAACTAGAATTGTAGTTAGTACCCTATGGTTATCACTTCCACACAAAATCAACGTGATTATTTTTCATTGAAGAATGCTTTTATTGCAATGTGTCTACAGATTATTTTCATTCACATATAGCAAAATATTTCTCTAAATATTAATAATTGGTAGTAATAGTATTAAGTATTATATTAATATTAAGTATTAATAATCAGTAGGCAAAGTAGTCTTTAGACTGTAAAACAAGTTCATTCGAAAGCAATCCAACATTCAAACTAGTGGCCTTGTGTTAAACAAAAGTACTGATGGTCTAAAAAGTCTGAACCCCTTTTATTGCATTCTTTATCTGAGATTTTCCCCTGAACAATTTCTTAAGACTGTTTCTTTATAAGATAGTAAGTCTTAGTAATTATTAAAGAAGACTAGGTTTATTCTTGAAATATAGAGTTTCTAAATAAAACCTTTTAAAGATTTTTGCCTTTATATAATTGAAAATAACACATTCCTCTACTGATTATTTACAAATTAGGTAAGAGGCTCATTCAGTCCCAGAAAAGGTAACTATTCATACCATGCTTGATGTTTTCACAATAGGAACTTCACTTTCAGCTCGCAACTTATTTTCAATTTCTTCCCAGTTTCTATCTGTGTCCTTAAATAATATTCTAGAAGAAAGAAATTAAAGAACAGTATGTTTAAAACAGACAAAAATAAACAAACTAAAACTGAAAGATTAGATACACGATACAAGAAAGCAGCATAGGGAGCACTGAATAAAACTAAAATCTGAAATAAAAACTGACAGAATCCAACCATACGGTTTAAATTTTCAGGGAAGCATACAGAGTTTCAGCAATATCATTATTATTGACATTAAAAAAGCAGTTCTGTAGCTAAATACTTGCTTATGGTGTTGAAAAGGCACAGCTGATTCTTTCCTCCAGCACTGAGACGTTTTTTAAAAATCCAACTATTTTATAGTAGTCAGAGAATTTCCTATTAACACTGCATTTTACAACAATTGCAAAAAGAAGAGAAAGATTAACAATGGTAAATGCTACTCTTTTATATTTGTATTTTATATTAATTTAGTGAAAAATAGAACACTTCAGAAAATTAAAAGAAAAATGCATTTCATAGAAGTTTGCATTGAAACGTCTCAACACACAATTTACATTACTAATCATGTATATAAATCTTGTATATACAAGTATCACTTGTATTACATGTTTAAAGAAGTCACTTTATTATTTGTAAAACCCCAAAGCATACTGTGAGATTCCTCATTTTTGATGTTTTGCTTCCCTGCTGTGATAAATATTTTTTGTTTTCATTGTCATATCATAAACATCATTTAAACTGTCTACATTTGCACAACTGGAAAACAAACAAACAAACAAAGATGTGTGGATACTTAAGGTCTGGGTATTCTTTTTTTTTTTTTTTTTAAGTGACACCATGATGACATAGAGGATTCCAAATCTGCTTCTTCTCTAATTGGTATTTCAGAGTTAAAAGTACAAAAATAGCTGCAGTAAAACTGCTAAGCAAACAAACCAATTTAAAATCATGACCGAAAAGTACATTTTAAAGACGTTATTGGTGTAGGTAGGTCTCTGAGGAAATAATATTTAAGGTGGAAATGAATGATACCTTGCATCTCATAAAGACTAAGAATTTGAAAGAAAGCTGAGAGACTTAGTACTGCATTTCTGTTAATGTTTCTTCAGTTATTTATACCCTATGGAAAATCCCACTCTCTATTAATATCCTGTCAAGAAAGTCTAGCTTTTCAAAACATGTACCCTGTATTATCAGTACACAGATGTCCATAGAGAGCCCATCCAAAAGCTGCTTTAATTCTTCTCTGCCTTTGAGGTCTTCACTAGCTGCTGCTTCAGAATATGTTTTTGTCAGATCTTTCACTGAGAAGTTCTATTCTCATGACAGAATGTCATGGGATCAAGGCAAATGACCACTTCTGCAAGTGACTTCAGTGTATTAATGTACAAAGCATACAAAGAGTAAACATTAATACATCTTGGGGAAGGAAAAAATAAATTAAAAGTAATCAAAGCTACAGTGAAGAAAACATGAAACACTTTATGGCCTCAAGTAGTGCCATCATCTTGTAACAAAAGTTGATCATCAGACATCTGACAAGATTGCTTTTATGTTCTGGAACAGAGTGCAAAAGCTTGCAAAACCACAACTGCAAACCTGGATACCAGAAAGTTGAATTACAATGGAAAATTTAGGACTTGCCTTACACTGATGAGTTTAAATAAATAAAAAGCAGAGCCAATTAAATCCTTTATAGGATCTTACACTAAAAACAGGAAACTCCTGGAAATATTTTGATTCAGTATACAGAGACTCTTACACAGCTATACTTTCCGTCCTTTAATAGCATTTATATCACTCTGGAAATCAGCAGGAATATAGAAATTAAGGCTTTAGTGAGCAGTAAACAGCAATAGTAGGAAAAATATAGAAGTTATTGTGACACTGCTTGGTTTTTTTCATTTACTTTCTTGCTCATGTTATATTAAAATACTTCTATCTTTATGTATGTGATTAATGCTTTTGCTTGTGTATGTGGTGTTTTCAGTCTTATTCTCTTTTAGAAATATTGTTCTTACTTCTCTTTTACAATTTGAAAGCTTTCCATTTCATAGGTCATTTTATTAAAAAAAAAAAGAGGAAAAAAATGAAAACAGTAATTGAAAAAATATTATTATTATTTCCACTATAAAGTGGACAGGGCAATTTGGTTTTGCTATAATATTAGGAAGCCTATTTCCTTTTTACAACATTTTTTTCAATTCTTCATTTAGCACATTTTAACCTCCTGGGGGTCTTCATCTCTGTCTCCTTTGCTCTTCCTCCTTCTAACCATACTTTTTATATTAAAAGAATGTATTTATAAATGCCTGCTGCCTTCTGCTCCTGCCTTTCCCAGTCCTACTTTCTGGGGCAAATCTGGTTGTGCTCAGTCCCCATTTTTCTTTCGTTGCACTTTGCAGGATGCAAAGCAAAGTGCAGAGACCAACAAGCAGTACCTGCACTGATCTGAATGCTTTGCCTAGATTTTGCCTGACTGAAGAGGTACTTTCCTGCTACAAAGCAAGCCAATAACACTGCATTCACATTGTAGAGCACTGATAAAACCACGTAGGTCTTCTCACTGCAAAACCTACTTACCTCTTCCCTCCACAATCTCTGAAAATTCCTGCAAACTCATTATAACGTATAAAAGACAGAAAAGCAAACAAACTGCATATCTGCTTCCTGAGAAGCCACCACAATAATCCATTAGCAAAGAATGGGTTATAGGATACATGGCAAGAATGCTGCAGAATTTTTAAATATAATGTAGTTTTGTGTACACCAGTAGATAAGAACCTAACTGATTATACAAAGTAATGAATAAAAATAAATTATAAAAAAAATAACTTAGCAATACCCAAGTTATGACCTTATCCTGAAGAAAATTACAAATATATAGAGGATTTGGTGAAAGAAACGAACCAGGCACTTGAATCTGGTTCAATCTGAACACCACACTAGGACTTGGGGAAAAAACCCCAGTTTGGCCAGCACTGGGAGAAGCTGGCCAAGGAATACAGCATCAAAAGCTTCTCTCAATCCTATTTCTTAATATAAGGTAGGAACGATGACAGAACTCAGTGGAACTTGGAACGCTATCTATAAACCAGAAAACAGAAATGGCAGCTCTAATGAAGTGGGGAAGAAACTAGTCAAGCAAAAAGATATCTATTTCCTTTTATCCTCATATTAACTTATTTTCATGACTGATTTCAGCTCATTTTAATTTCCGATAGACCTGCTTCTCAAGAACCACTGAAAATATTTATGTTCTTAATACTTTAGTCAAAGTGAAACTGGTCTTTTTGTAAAGCTAGCTATTGCAACTAAAACAGAACAGAAAGAAGAGCGTTCACATTCACAGGAAGCACGTCTTTCTCCATTTGGACCCAGATAGGAAGGATGCAATTTTTTTAGTATGTATGATGCAATTTGTAAGGACCGTAATTGCCCTATACCATCTGTGCTCTCAGGAGAGAGGTTTACATTGGTGAACACGAAGATTTGAGAGAGGACTTTTAAAACACAGAGAGACTTACTGGCTTACTCTTATTGCTGCCTCTATAAATTTCTCCTCTCCTTTCAGGTTCAAGTACTTTGGAAAAATACACAACTGCTAGCTTGACAAATCCTGATTGATTCTCATTGTATGTGTTCTGGGCAGAAATTTTAACTGGCTTAACTCCAGTAAAAGGAATAGAAGCACACCAGTTGGTTGAACTCCTGTACATCAAAACAAAGCTAAGGTAAAATCTGCAATAGGTCCTAGCTGCCTTATATGCTCTCTAAAAACAATTCTAAAACTATTGTTGTTTTTCTGATTAAAAAGAAATTATTGTTGATTTTCTGATACTAATGACATTATGAGTAACATCATATTATTCAAATCCATTCTGAGTAGCAGGAAATGGAAGTTTTGATCACAGCTCTGGGGAATATGCTAATTAATTGCTTATTAATTAAAGCTTCTCCACTGTATTTTTATAGAAATATGCAATGCCACTCTCCTTAAATGTATATAAAATGTTTATAGGTATGCCTATATTTATAATATCAAACATGATCACATCATTATTACATTCAGTACAATGTAGCTGACTTACCTTTTAAGCTCAGAAAATTAATCAGAAAAGTGTAAGACTTGATTTGTTACCTGCTTTTCTCAGAATGAATTTGCATATGTAAATTTAACTCACTGTACTGAACTCAGTTTTTTATGATAAGTAAACTACAGCTGTGCTAGCAACATATTTACAGATCAGAAACTGCCAACCATCAAGAAAAATCAGCATGATGAAAAAAGTAAAGTATCTAATATCTACTGCTTCTGAGGAACTTAAGATACATATCATCCTAGAGGCCTACCACAAATAAGTCAGTCAATAAGCAAGATTCTTGTTCCAATGATGCAGCTTTAAAAGGAAAAAAAAAAATATATTGGTAAGCGGAGTTCCTTATGGATGTCACTGTATTTTCCCAGAGAATTATAAGCAGAACAAAACTTAATGTAATATTTTGTTTCTATTTCCTAATTTCAAATGCCTTTTAAAATGACTTTCAAAGAATGGTCAGCTTATGTACCTTCTTGCATGTATTTATTTGCTCTTTTTTTTGAGATCAGCTATTAAAGTAAATGATAGCATGCACTCAGAGGTTGGTTAAACTTGAAGAAGTTGTGAGCTTTTGCATAATTTGTAATAAATTCTGCATTATGCAGTTGAACTCTGTTATTGGCACAGCTTTTGAGAGTAACCATATTGTACACCTGCATTTCACAAACTCATTTGTATCTTAAAATTACATAGTAAAAGACATTTACGTCTTTTGTTCAAGGATATTCAAATAAATAGTATGATACATAAAAGACGGTATCTGGGGAAACTAAAGAGGGAAAGGCAGCAAATGGCATATTTCCAATATTATAATCCTGCGGCCCCAAAATGGTGAGTTGGAAAAAGAGAAATGAGATGAATATCAGCCTAGAAACATGTTCCAAGATAGTGAAAATAAGGTACTCACAAATGTTACCTGTAACCACCAGTAAAAACAACACACACAAAACCTTAGAACAGAAATAATAAGAATGGGCTGCAGGCTGTTAAAGACTTGTTTCTTCACTCAGTGATACTCTTCCTACTAGAAATGGCAGATAACCTACAGTTTTTACCAATTTATACAGATTTTTTTTTTCTCTTGATTTCTATGGTCAAGTCTTTTTTGGTACTCCCATGAGAAGATAACCTTCAGATATGTTATTATTTTGCTGCTTTTACTAGTTACATCACCCTATAGTGAAATAAATTTGTGACTTGATGATTAATCTGTCACACATCTAAGATTTCAATATCTGACACTTCCTAGACAAACTGATCAATTACAATATTTTCTCACATTCAGAAAATTATACATGAAGTTCAGCCAAATGACTTTCTTATTTTTAATGTACTCTATTTTGAAATTATTAACTGCACAAAGACATGAAGAAGGACATGTGAATTATACAATCCTGAACTTTGTATTTAGAATTTTCATTTATTCTTGTCAAACAAAGTGGTCACCAAATGGTTGTACAGTCACTCATTCAAGTCAAATGGAGCTGTTGGTAGAGCAACATGTTACCATTTTTGACATGTCTATACTTCCTGTTAGCTACGAAGACATTTTATGCAGGAATCTAACGATCTAAGCAGGAATTTTCAATTAAAAATAAGAGATGGTTACTCAATAGTGACCACATTGTCTCCAAGAGCAAGTTCTTTTTCAGAAGGATTTACTGAAACTGCTCTCCTCTGTACCATTTGTTTTTCTTCCTGAAATGGGTGATCCCTACAACAACTTGGCAAACGTACAGGGCCCGGTTTTACAGTTCAGCAACTTCTTAACCTTATCTTTTAAGGAAGGGAGTTTTACAAGACTTGCATAGAGGTCATGTAGATTTTGCACAGCATTTGCATGTGTTGGAACAGCTCCTCTGCTGGAATTATGATGGGTATTGTTCTGTCCAAGTAAACTTTGCTGATACTTATCTTCATAGAATGTGAACTACGCACCAGCAACAATGGAAAAATTATCCATCCCAAATCTTTCTGAATGCTAAAAAGGCCATAGGTAACATTGCTTTTTAAAACACAAGTTGCTACTAAATACATTTCCTCTATCTGTATTATACATATCTCTCCTGCCAGTATGAATGGTGATGAGAGCCAAACATTTTCAGTAATAACAATAATTTTTAAAAACCCACCTGATTTTGCCAGCTGTTTTGTCTATGGATTGTCTTATCTTGCGAGAAAATTGGAAGACTGAAGACAACAGCAAACTGTCCCCCATAACCTGCAATAAGTTTTCAATAAAAAAAGATATTATTAGTTTAATGGGAATTAAATACAAACAATTCCATATATTTTGAAATATTTTTGTAACTTGAAAAAAATCATACTTGTGTTCTAATTAGTATCATATACAAACAATCATATTTGAAAATTTTGCAAATTAAATAATACACAAATATTTGTTTCCAGTATTAATGCCACCTGCTACAGGTAGGAAGGAAAGGATAGTGTCTAGAATATTAAGTGGGGAGACAACTGTAAAAGCTTAAAATAGACACATTACTAGACAGAATCCTGTTGTGAACTCACTTCATCTCGGCTCCAAGTCCTTCTCCGGGTAATTGTTGGGGGATCGAGGGCATCTGTTAGCTGAGGTCTAGCATCATTAGGCCGACCATTCCCCTCTGGTGGTTTGGCATGCACTAGTGGAGGGATTTTTCTAAAATTGAGACTTTCATCAAATACTCGGTCAACCAACTGGGGGGGTAAAAGAAAAATCCAGTTTATGAAACCTACTGGATACATGCAAGGTCAGATTAATATTTTTTTCCCTTCTGAAACAGTTTACAAGAAACCTATCAAATAAAAATAATTCTGTTGTCTTGCATAGTATAAAATAATGCATCTCTGATGTAACAATACCTTGTAAAAATGAAGGTCTTTTTTTCAAATACTAGACATACACAGCAAAATTAGACTACCCCACAGAAATTTTGCTTATGGGCAAGTAACATAATAGTTACCTATAAACTGGTATTGAATAATTTATTCCTTCGATCAATGGAATATATCTATGGAATTAAGTACAATACTATCAAATTTAGGTTTTTTTCCAGATTAGTCATAGTGTTACAGAAACACCTATACCTACTTAAGGGAGATACTGCCACCTGCAGTAGTATGTACACACTGTACAGTACTTTTTAAAGAAGAAAATAATTATTTAGTAATATAAAAATCAGAGTGATCTAACTGGATCTGAGAAAATGAGCACTTTACTTCCTTAAAGTTTAGCCATAAGTCCACAAGAATTAAAACCAAAATCTATGTGAGTGCTGTTACAATTTTTCGGAGTACACAACTCACAGATTTCTTATCACTGTTTATATCTTTTTTTCCACAGAAAAAGACAGTATTATACTAAACAGAGTAAACTAATGTATTAACCAAACTTTATGCAGACAAAAATGAATAAACACATTTTGAAAGGAATACTATGAAGAAGAAAATGCAGTAAACATTTACAACATATTAGGGTGAACTGTAATATGGTAAAAAGTGATGATTTAAATTCAGATTAATATGTTTACCAGCATTAGACCTGTGATGGTTACTGGAAGTTAGTCAATATATTCATAGAACAGCACACCAGAGATAGTCAAAGAAAATAAGAATTATTAGAAGCACAAAGCAAACTTATTTCAAGGCAGTTTTTGACAATGTTATTAAGAAAGAAAACCTAAAGTTATTGTTAACTGATGGTACCTAAGTATTTCAGAGTTCAGAAGATGAAACTTTAATGTAACCTGTGAAAAGAGGGACTTTTTTGTTTTTAAAAGCGATGCAAAGTATTAAATGTATACATTTATATATATTTGTGCACACACACTAGTATCTTTAAATGCGCTTAGATACTATCCAACAGTATCTAAGGCTACAGACAAGCAAGAAACAATTAACTATCTTGTCCTATGTTTCGTGGAAAAAAAGAGACAGACAGATAGTATGCATCCTTTTGACAAGCTGTGTTCATAGAATAATTTCTGGGTTGTTTGTTGAAACATAAAGGAACTTTAAATCAAAAAACAATGTAGAGATCATGCATACGGGTTGAGTGGAAATAACTAAAAAAGGCTATGCAAAAAGCTAAAAGCAAAAGAAATAAAGAAAAGGAAGAACCTTATGCATTTCTCCATGAAGATCTCCTACCTCTTCTCTAGTGTCTATGGCAGAGCCAGGGGTGGTGGCAGCAGTGCTTACTGTGGTACTGGGGGCAGTGCCTGATGAAGTCACTGAATCTATCTCTCCTGCTACATCGTTGATTTCCCGTGCGATGAGAGCCAGATCTTGACTGATCCTAGTAATAAAGAGAGTGTTACATTCTCCCCTACAAATACTTCTGGACCAGTAGAGCCCAACCTGCAGCCTTTGAGCTTCTAAGTTCTAGTTCCTGATAACTGTGCAATGAAAATGTTTTCTAAACGGAAAGTTTATTTGTAGAACCACGAAGATGAATTTTTAACTGAAGCTTTTAATAACATGCCTTTCTAGAGGAAGAAGGTAGAAGGCAATCTCAAAAGACAAGAGCATCCTTGTTTTCTTTCTAGGATGCCCAGACAGAGATGTGTGCAACATGCAGTAAATCCAACACGTGGGATGCACTGGAAATATGCTGAAAATACTGCACAGATGACCTGTGTACATGCAGTAAATCTGAAATGTCCAGAACACATTTAATTTATACCTCAGTTTACCTACTTTCAAAGAACTTCTTCAGCACCTCTGATTATCTAGCAGTGCTGCAGCTTGCTCAGATCAAGCTGCTTATGTGCCTGAAATTCCATACCAGTACCCTAAAATGTCAAATTTAATCAAGACAAGCTTTCTAGTTGGAAAAACAGAACATGCCTGTAAAAACCTGGATATGATAGCACTACACAAATACATCTGAATTCTCAGCTGAAGATTCCTTTTCCTTTCTTCTGACCCACTACATCAAAAAATCACTCCGCTCTGTATTCTGCTCAGCACAGGGGGGAAGTTTGCCTAGCTCTGCTTGTGCTACTCCTCCCCAGGACACCCCAAAAGAAGGAGGGGGGAAAAAAAACCAAACCAAAGCAAAAGCTAAAAGCCCCCTACTAACTATGGCACCCTGAACCTCCAGCTTGGACCAAGCAGTTCAGAAGACCTAGAATGCAGAGCAGCCCACCAAGTGGTCCCCTTTCACACTTCTGTCTGAGAGGACTGAAGGCACAGAAGTTAACAGTGCTAATTCTACACCACCAAGGACTCTGTGAACAGCAGCACCCGCCACTTAAGCAGCAGGAGTTGCACAGCCATGTGACAGTGATGCACACCGTGCTGGCCAGTGCTTGCTAAAGGTGAGCTTCTTTCTGCTCTTTATTTTCACTTTGTCTTCAAGTCAAAAAGAATGGACATCATTGACCTAGAGATAGTTTAAGGCCGAGTGAGCAGAATTTAAACTAGAAAGGCAAACATAATTAGAGAAATTTCCAGTCAAATTACAAAACTGGATTTTGTGGCTAACCATCAACAATCCGCAATAAATGCAACCTTGTGCAGCACAGATACACATATAATTGGGATAAGGCTGTAGAAGAATATGTGGCAATTACCCGCGACCACTCAGGACAGTATTTCTGAATTCAAACTATCAAAGACTGGAACAGTAAAGCAGAAACCAAGTCAATTGCTCATTTTAATAAATTAAAATATGGTAAGTGCCTATTACTACATTAATTAATTTAACCTAATTACTACATCTTTTGGGTCAATTTTAATTTGTATTTCGTGTTCTTATATATACGTACCATACAAACTCCAAGGTTTGAGCTAATTTCTAAGTAGTAGAGATACTAGAGCACCTACTTTGTTGTTTCACACAACCGTATCACTTTTTTTCTTAAACAGAGAAGTTGCTAATAATCACGTTTATATTTCTGGGACAAATTTTGGTATTTAATGAGTAGTTGTGAAGAAATTTGTATTTCGTGTTCTTATATATACGTACCATACAAACTCCAAGGTTTGAGCTAATTTCTAAGTAGTAGAGATACTAGAGCACCTACTTTGTTGTTTCACACAACCGTATCACTTTTTTTCTTAAACAGAGAAGTTGCTAATAATCACGTTTATATTTCTGGGACAAATTTTGGTATTTAATGAGTAGTTGTGAAGAAAATAAAACCCAGGAAGTAACAGTTATCAGTAAATTTTCCAGAAGACAAATGTCATTAAACACCATAATCAAAAGTAGTATCAATCAACTAAGACTTAACTCTCCACAGAAATCAGCAATGCTTCAACATGCCACAGCCACTTCAACTCAGTTCTTACCAAGCAATCAAAATTACATAAAATGTCAGATATCTACATAAAAATGAATTCAAATGAATCCTGAAAATATCATAATAAAGAACTCTAACATGGATGGCAAGCAACCTGTTAGACAATCATCATAGTCAAACACTAGTCAAGCGAACAAAATCTGGAATTAGTTTCAATGTGATAGTAAGCTATAGCCAGTACTCAATAACGTTTCTGTATAGAAACAATATAGACAGAGCACTAAACAAAAAGCACTATGAAAAAGAAAATTAGAAACCAGCTGAGAGTTGGGCCTGACTTTTCATAAATAAAGTTTTCAAGTCATTCGACATTAACTTTTAGAAACAGAACGTATTGCTTAAATATAAGGAATATGTTTTGTATAATCAAGGGCAAGAGACTTAGGCTTTAGGTACACACTATTTACTCTGTTGCAACTGTAGGTTGCCTTGCAGATTTCTACTGCTTCCTGCATCAGACCCAGCAATCATACAAGGCAAATCAATTCAGGGAGGCAAAACTAAACTAAACCTCCAATTCCCTAACCCCCCAACCTGCTCCAGGGAATGTTGCTATAAGATTTGCTCAGTGAGCAGACTCCCGCAGCTATACAGTTACGTAAGGGACAGACAGAGTTTCCAATGCAAGGGAAAAGGTGAGAACACGGGGCTTGGGATGGGAAGAGCATGACCATCTTTTTCAACAGCCTGGAACTCTAGTTCTTATTTACCTGCAGTGAAAGAATACCCATAGTATTAGAAAACCCACAATGAAACAGGAATGCTTCTAAGATATCTGTAATAGTTCTGAACCACTGGATTACCAAAAACATTTTTATAATTAGTCTACCATGTCACACTTCCTACACTGAGTCAGTTTATTTTGTAATGATACTTTAAAATCCTTAAATAAAATATACGTGAAGGTCCTGTTATTCTGAGGGTGTATATTCCCTCCAGGCCAAAGTGGTTTTAGATCAAATTTAGTTATTCCATTAAGTTTTTTTAAACACCTCTTTCCAATTTTCAATTTTATTAATATCTGTAAATTGTAGAGTCTGTGAAAAGTGCAAACTGGGTCAGTCTTGGAAGACCAGTTAAAATACAACATAATGGTAACATGGATGCAATTAAATGTTTGTCACACAGCCTCTACACTAATTTCAGCTGCACATTTATTTTATGAAATACTTATCTTTACACCTGCCTAATCTAATCAGTTATTCAACAAAAAACCCAAAATAACCAATTTTAGTGAGAACATATAACTATCTTTTCCTTTTTTAAAAACTCTAAACAGAGTTGAAGGGACTCTGATCATAGAGTCTGGACTGAGGGCTGGGAAGGAAACAAAAAACAGGGTAGACAATGATAGAGGGCAGACTATGGTTAGCAAGGCAAAGGGAGCAGAGACAAAAATTATCTTATAAAGGACAGAAGTTAAACTTAAAGCCAGGGGAGCAATACTGTGAATTAGTACAAAGAGATATCGCGGCACAGAAAGGATCAACTAGTGACCTAGAGCAGGGGGGCTCAGCAGAGGCTAACCAAGGAAACTGGTGTTGGAAGCAGTGACAATAGATGACAGTAGTCTGACATTTCTCAGCTGCTGAATGCTAGCTTTCTTAACCTTAAATATGCTCATTTAATGTAGTTTGTGTGACATTTCTATACACAATCACAAATTTGGCAATACCAATTGGAGTTTCTCACCACTTCCACTGGAAACAAAGAAGCTGAAAAAGGTAGGATAAGTACATAGCCTTCAAAACAAATTTAAAACCAGTATCTAAATGAAGAAAATGGTAAGAAGCCCAAGGGAAGAAAAAAAAAACCCGCAAACTTAACCATCAAATAAGTTTAGACCGAATTGTCAGTTACTTCCAGTGTCAATCTCTCCTAGATGAGCAAAATGTACTAAGAAGTTTCACTGAAGTAGAAGTTCAGCAGCACTTTTTATAAGGAGGGAGTAATATGCTATGGCTATCCTCAATTTTTTTCCCCATATACGCACATTCCTCCCCATATCCATCTCTAACTTTAGATTCTTGGAAAGAAAGAGATGTTTTAGGAAGATGCCTTTGAAGATGTTTATTTCATGATTTATCAAGATGCTATCAGACTCCTTTAAGTATTTTCCCTTTGCACAGACCACACTAGAAAAACAAATGTTGAAAAATATTACCAAGAAGAGGAAACAAAAAATAATTAATGACACTAAGCAAAACACATGCTTCACATCTGTGAGACCACAGTGTTAAGATTAATTTTAAAAGGAAAACACTTTTATTGTTTTAGCTTCCAAATTAAAAGTTCTGTGAAAAGGTTCAGAACCTGAACACTGTCATGTAAATTTTAAATAACATTTATATACTTACATAGTTTTATTTATTTAGTGCAAGGTATTTAAAGTTTTCACTGCCTGGGTATTGCATGGCATGGGAATAACTGGTTACCAGAATGGAAAACTGACTACCTTTTCCTTGGTTCACTTGAAGCAGAGTGCTATTAGCAATAACGGAGGAATTGCTATACTAGTCTCAGGGACTCAGAACAAAAGAAATTACTTTTTGATGAATACATATGATTTAAATCAGAAAATATCTAACATGAAATAATGTCTAGATAAACCAAAAATTAAAATGAGAACATGGTATCTTATATTGCCAAAATCACTTTTTCCTCTCTCTGTCAACTACGCATTGATCTGAAATTTTACCTCAATACGAATGTAAAGGTAGAACAAAATCAGATATACTTCAGCCTCAGGAAATACACCATTAGCAACTACGAGTTCTACACAAAGTACCTCTGCAAGTCCCAATAATGCAACCAGAAGTTCATATTCCGGGATCTGGCTATCATAAGTCAGAAATGACTATCAATTTCCATTAGAAAGAGATGTGCTGATAATATCAGTGTCCTGTCTGCCAGTCTCTCATTAGAAGAATTTTAAATTACCCATTCAGTAAGTGAATGAAAATGGTAAGTAGAGTAATACAGAAAATCCATTACCTCTCTTTCTCCTATATATGTACCAGTGTAACTGGTTGGGTACAAATCTGTTATTTTAGAGGCACTCCTTTAAAACCAACCTTGCTATTTCTTCTCGGTGAGCAGTCCAGTCACGAATGTAGTCTTCCTGTTCCTTTATTCTGTGCTTGAATGTATTGCTACTTTGAGCTGCTGTCCCAGTGCTCTGCAGTCGCGTGGTTTTCAGGGCTGGAGAGGTACGTAGACGGGTATGTTTAGGGGAATTACGGTTTGATCCGAATTCATCTTCTGAGGTGGAAGCATAATCTGTAGGAAAGCGCCTCCATCTTGCACTTACTAAATTAGTTTAATTATTAAAAAAGAATTATTATTGCAGCTTTAATAAGAAAAAACAATATTATTTCAGTAACATGACAAAAATACACCACTATTCATTATCAATCCCCAGATACCTCACAAAAGGTTTATTTACTACATCTTAAAAAGAAAGCTACAAAATTTGTGTTAAATAATAAATATTGATTAATAAAAACATAAAATGGATGCTCTTTGTATAATGATGAGTGAAATAAGATGTAAAAGCCAGTAACTGTATATGAGCTCAAGCAAACTGTATTACAAAACAAGGGCCCAATTCATTAACATTTAAGTATATAGTCAGACTGCACTTTTTCTGCAGATTTTTTCCCAAGTTTCATTCAAGGTTTACATGATACACAAAAAAAATGAAGAGACGTGAAGGGAGGGTGGAGCTGGCACCAAGCCTGGAATGCATGCGTACATAAGGAAAGCATAAAAATCCTAGATGATGCATTATGTATTTAGTACAGAAAAAAATATGTTAAAATTAATAGTGTTACAAAAATCAGCGGCACATCTATAAAAACAGCAGCCTCAGAGCAAAAAGCATATATTCTCACATGTAGCACATAAAGCATATACAGCCACGTTGCTGAAGACAGCCTGAAGTATAAGAGAACTGAAACTAAGTAGGAGGCTCTCGTACCCCTGTGAATTACTAAAGTCTAGAAAATGCATTTCAGATATGCTATCCTTAAACATTCCTAGCAGGAAGAGATATCACTAAGTGTAAAGGAATGCTCATCACGACAACCTGCTAAGTTCTTGCAGGGGATTTAGTCCCCCAAGCTCACTGACATTCATGAGGCTCTATAATTATTGTAAAATTTTAAGAAGTGTGCTATCACCTCTTGGTAATTTAAAAATAATAGATTCAAGTAATGTATATTGGTTTTAGTATGAGAAAAATGCAAGAAGTAATAATGACTTCTCCTGAAACATTTAAAAAAACATTACAAATGAAATATACATCAATATGAATTTAAGTAACAAATAATGGAAGTAATTTTTAGTTGAGAAAAGATTTGTGTAACGCTCTCAAAGATTACAGTACATAGAATATGACATTGGTGTATAAGCTTACATCCCTTCCCTCATATAAATAATGCATTTTTAATCGCTGGAAACAAAAATATGCTTGCGTAATTTTTTTCAGGTTTAAATGTGGGCTTCAAATCATGTCCAGTTCTACTAATTTTTTTTAATTATTATAAACTTTATTGAAGAAAATAAAAATGTCTCTCCAGTCACTTACTGTTCTTTTTTTAGAGGTTTCAAACTTGTTTTGATCTTAGGGAAGTAGAACATAAGCAGAAAAAGCACATTTCCCCACCAATAGCATGCAAGCAATGCGTGACTGACATCCAAAGAGCTTTATGAGTTGGGCCCACATTTTATCATCAATTTTTGTTTAAATTCTTTGTCCAGTTCAAATTATATGCATCAAAATAAATATAAAATTTATCTTAAAATCTCTCAAGTGAGCTAGTCCAGCAACTCAGCACTGTACAATGAGCATATGTAATTATATATTTAAAAACTAAAAACTGAATGAGAAGTGAAATATCAGAAACAGATTTGATTTCTAATCCTCTACCACTGTAAGTTTCAACATCAGGATCTGGGTCTGGGAGAAGCTTGGATTTCTCTGTGTACAAAATAGTGTTTTATCATGTTAATTCGTATTAAAACATTCAGATTAGAAGCATTTGCTTAAATAAAATATATTGATGAGATTAGTCTTAGGTCCTCGTTTCCACCCACACTGTTTAGGAGAAGATTCTTAAATGATACATTCAATCAAGAATACTGAATTTTGTAAAAGCGTAAACATTTCAGAGATACTAACTGAAATGACATCAATAACAATTGTCTACATAGTACCATAAAACCCCTCTAATTTTTTTAAGACCATTAAATTCTAAGGCCGTAAAATGTTGCTTATTTATATATTATCAACGGGTTTCTCATTAATATATGGAAAAACTTACTGTAGGCTTAACAGTAAAAATCTCAAAGTTGTATGATTCATGACAAGCAATATCCAAGCACGTTTCCCATTAAAGTAGCTATACATTTGCACATATGTGCTTTTAATACTATTTATAAATTACGCAGCCCCAAAATGTCATTGTAGTTTATGTAGATTTCTGAAAGCTATTGTGCAATTAGTCATCTCAGACACCAAAGACTGTGAATATCAGTACCAACAACTAGAAAATCCTCCAAAACCCTGGCTAAAATAATCAGCAGACAAACCTAATTTGGTGACTACTCTGCGAGAAGTATGGTTGACAACACTTTAAGCCGGCAAGTTTAATGATTTGGACACCATCATCTCACTTTTAAGATCTGAGGACAGACTTTATTAAGCATATCCCTTATAAAATACTCTACTTTCATTGATGTATTGCCTTCTCAAGGCCCATCCATTTCAAAGATCCTGAAATTTGGTGCTCAGAAGTGCAATACTACTAAAGCGCAGTTAATAAGGGTTGTTTTCTCTCCATGCTCAAACCCTTTTTTTTCTTTTTTCCAGAGATACTTCAACAGCTTTGATCAACCTATCTGCTAGCTATTTGCAATGACAGCTAGGTCAGCAAGCCAGCAGAGCTGCCGAACACAACTAGTTGTTCAAGGTCTCTCTGTTCTGACTCAATGCTTAATTTTACAGTTGCAGCTTAGCACTTTTGCACTAGGTCTGATCCTGTTGTTCTTTCTCCCAATACACAGCGCCTTCTGTAACATCATCTTCAATTTCTCTCCGCAATTGTGAAAAAAGGCCTTTGGTCTTCTCTGGTTTTATTGATCACACTCTTACTGTTTGATGATTCAGTGCCTTAAAACTTTCATTGCTTGTGCTATAAAATTACTAATTCTGCTTCACGTGTCCTCACAGTGTTGTCAGTTATCAAGCCTCCTACCACAGAAACACCCTGGTAATTACTTTAATGCTGGTAATTCTCATCCAAGATGTTCCCTTTATCTGCTTACCCTTTCATTTAAAAGTAAGCAATACTTAACTGTATCAAGGATTAAAAAAGATTCTTGAAATTATGGACTTGCTGACAGCTCTGACAATTTATTGCTATTATGTTGCAGTTCATCCACATGAAGTATAAGACAATAAAAAAATCCAGTGACTACATCTTTTTTTGCCTCCTTTTTACAGGCATGTATGTCTGAACATTCAAAAAGATTTGGGAAATGCAGAAATAATTTCCTCTTTGGTAGACTGGATTTAAGAAGCAAGATTCTGCTGCCAATGTTTAGTGATCTACAATTTGGTAATGTTAACTGAACTCTGATGAGAAGACCCATGGCACATTTTTAATACTTCGATAGCAACCAGTCTTCTGGTAAAAGAAAAAAAAAAACCAAACCCTATATTGGTAATGATCGTTCATTTTACAGTCTTTCTAGGTCCAGGGAGAGAAGAAAATACATCACCGTTATGCCTTGATTAAATACGCCCAAAGTAAAACACATTCAAACAGTTGAGGCACTTTTGTCAGGCACTTCATTAGTAATTTCCAAAAGTGCTAAAATTAAGTAAATTGTTGACTTTCCTAGAAACAAAATTAAATTCAGGAATTATATGCTTTGGATCGAAAAGCTTCTGCTATGTTCCATCTTTACATATTGCATACAAGTAACACATTCTATTCAAAGATGTTTCAAATACATTTATCTAAGGATAAAATAATAAATAATATTAATAACTTGATGTGTTGGGTATTATTAGCATCATTTTATAAGACGCTAATGAAAATGGGGGGATGTACTGAGTAGTGGCCTATATGAGAGAGAGAGAGAGAGAGAGAGAGAGAGAGAGAGAGAGAGAGAGAGAGAGAGAGAGAGAGAGAGAGAGAGAGAGGAGAGAGTACATTCCTATATATACTAGAAGATTACACCATTTTAAAGCAATTCACATTTTCCTAAAGTATACTCTAAATAGCCCAGTAAAAAATATAATACAATAAGCTTACTGGTACAGACAAAATCCAGAACTCCAAATCCTAAACAGTAGTAATAATATTCTTTACTTACATCGTAACAAGGCTTGATTGATTCATTAAGCCATGATTTTGTTTTGAAAGTATCTGACTGCTTTATTAATTGCTTTTAGATTTTCACCTTTACATTGATACAGGCTTCTCCCTGATTTTGATACAAAAACTGAAAAAGCTTTATATGACAGAAGCTATTTTTACTGCAGATTTTTCTAACAATGGCCTTTTTAAAATACCTAGCTTATTACTGTGGGGTAGCTCATGAGAAGATGGCATCTTTTCTCTCTTGAAAACAGAGTATTTTATACAAGCTACAGTAAACTTTGAGTGTGTAATGCAGGTAAATGAAACGAACATTAAACAAAGATGACTGTGATAGACTAGTAGACTGGGAAGAGAAAGATAGACCCACACCCCTGAATAGAAGCAGCAAACCACTTCAGTGCAGCAACCTAGGAAAAGTTTAGGAAGCATGCAATAGTTCACATAGACAAAACTCAAAATCCATATACAGTTTTGTGAAAAACACAAGAAGCAGCAAAGTGACAAGCAACATCTGGGGTTTACCTTTTAAAAAATCAGCAATACCACTATGTGAACTAGTGTTAATTATTAAAGTAAACGTATAGAAGCAATCTTAACTGACACTCTTCCCTGACCTAATGTTGCCACCTTTCAGGCTGCACACATCAATTTAAAACTTTGATTAAAATTGAAAACATGCTACTTTTCCAATGATCTCTTACAAGGAAAGACTGAGTTTTTCTCTGAAGTTTCACCTTTTTTTTCTATCTTTGTAGACACCTGTCATAATATTAAACAGATTCAACTTTATAGTTCAGTGAACACCTCATTTGTATCTCTACAGAAATTTCTATTCAGCTAATAAATGACACAGCCAAAAGATACCTGTCTGGGGAATTAACACTGCAGAGAATCCTAAGAAGGTACATTTACGATATACAAGCAACAAAAGGGCAGTAGGACTGTGGGAAATTTAAATATCACAGATGTTTATATCAGCTCTGATTGGAAGCAGTAAAGGAGAATATATAATCTCAGTAGCAACACACAACACTGGAAGGTATTCTATTTATTTTTTCTTAGATTGTGAATTGGATTCAAATAAGGTCAAGCTGGTAGTATGACAATTCAAAAAGCAAGAGGACACCAATTTTAGATATTCATTCCACATGAAAGTTGACTTATTTAGAATTACCACATCTTAATTTTGATTTAATATTGCCATTGGAAGAAAACTAGCAGCCTTTCATACTGCTTGCACTTAGAAGCGTTATGTTAACTTCTAACAGAATAGTAGGTTAAAATTAATCAATTGTACAGATTTTTCTGTCCATACATAATATTATAGTAAAGGAACTACCACACAGAAGAAGATCAACATGATTTGGAAATCATGATGAAATCATAAATCGTCATGATTTGGAACAGAGAACAGAAACTACTCCAAAGCAAGGCAAACATTTTAAACTAAATTACTTAACTTTACGTTATTTAGTTAGGTAGTGTTTGTGTTTAATTTTTCCATTTGTTACTTCATTGTTAGTCTTATCAAACAAATCTCACTTTTGTAGTTCTGGAAGCTAATCTTAAATTATAAATACAATTATCCTACAGATGCTCGGGGTATACCTCAGGGAACACTTGCTGTTCAGCATATTTACAAGCCTACCTTACAAATAAATATTATACCTTCTATGTAGTAAAAAGTGCTGCTGACCTTCTGAACTTCTACTACTATGACTTGAGCAAAGAGATCTCTGCTCTGTTTTTGTACTAATGCAAATCAGCGCTGCCATGTCTGAATGCCTCAATGCAATTCTTTGTTACTGGTTTCAAGTTAAAAAAAAATATCCAAAGAGTTAAAGGATTACAATTTCTTGTCTTTATGATTTTAAGTAAGAAACATCCACAAGTTCTTCCAAGGAAGCCTCTTACTCCAAAGAGAAAGACTGCATCAACTAAAACTCAAGAAATGTTTCATAGGAACTGTTCCTTAAAAAAAAAAATAAATATTCCACATATGAAAAGCATCTACTATTGTATAAAACAAGTTCAAATAATCTCACATACCTGAGGGAGAATTATGAGCTGAAGCCAAAGATTTGGATTTTGAATCTGAAAGTCGAGAAATGCTATTGGCTCGAGTTCTAGCAGAAACTTTACTACTATCTCCTGCTGATGTTAACCTTGCACCACTTCTGATAATAGCTTCTGGGGTACGAGATGAGGCAGTGCTTCTAGTTATTGTTGCTTCAGAATCACTACGTGCTGATAAAGAGCCAAGTCGAGTTCTGCGAGGTTGAGCAAGTAAGTCTATTCTGGAAATACTTCTCCTCCCTGATGGAGGTTTTGACGTAGAACTTGTAGTGGACACTTCGGAAGCCACTGAAGCCTTATCGGCATCAGCAAGCTCGCTATCTGAGGCTTCACCAAGCCGTGCTCTGCGCAAGAGAGAAGTCCTTGTAGGACGAGGTCTTGGAAGAGTGGTAGATTTACTAGATTGCCCAAGCGCAACAGGAGAGGTTTTTGATTTAGCTGACTTTCCTTCCATTTTGGAATGTAAAAGTTCATCTGCTGAAGCAAAAGGAACTCTTCCATGTGATTTACCAGAGTAGGTTTCCTGGTCAGATGATAAGATATCAGAAATGGCAGAATGAGGTACGCTAGATGTTTGGTCATCATCTGTCAAATCTACTGATGGCTGTCTCATTCTTCCACTGGATTGCACAGTTTTGCGAGCATCAGCTCTAGACCCACCATCTGAAGATCGACTTTTAGTTTTCTTTTCCATCTTTTCTCTGGCACTTGTTGCAGAAGATTTTAAAACATCCTTTGAAGGGGAACCAGAAGAACATCTATCTTTATATAAGGTTGTAAAGCTCTTCCGCTTCTGCGTGGATTTTCTTTCAGTGTCACCAGTAACGAGACTGATTGTGCTGGCTGTATCTACATCTGATTCTGGTGATATGGAATTATCTCTGTTATAGCTAGGAGTCTCGGGACCTTCATCAGTTTTATTTTCTTCACGCAATTTAGCTTCAAGGAAAGCCATTACAGCTTCTGTGTCTTTTAAAATGAGTGTTGTATCCAGACTGGAATCGGTTTCCATTGAATCACTTCTGTCACGTATCCTGTTTGCAGATGCTAACGGGGCAGCGGATCCACTTTGCTTATTAATGTGAGGAATAAGTTCTATAGGTATATTTGTGCTAGGCTTATCTATAGTAAAGCTACCTTGCCTCACTAATGGTTTTGAAGATTCCTTTTTTTCTCCTCCAGATGCTTTAGGACTTTGTCCTTTAATTGTTTCCTCATTTTTTCTTCTTTTTCCCTCACTCTGCGCCAACTTCATTTCTGCTTTATCTGTAACATGTCCAGGAGCTTTGTCTTGATTATCCAAAGTTTTGGGTGACATAGCAACCTCCTCCCTACCTTTCTCAACCTGGTTTGCAGCAGATTTTGTAGAGGATAATTTTGTGGGTGTCCAGTGTCCTTGCTCCTTTCTTTCTTGTTGTTGAATTTTTGCTAAAGCTTGTTTCACCACAGAAGTTTCTCTGCCAGTTTCCGCTCTCTCTTTACTGGAAGAACTGGAGAAAGAAAAAACTTTGTCTCCAGTAGCTTTGGGTGAAAGACCATTCATTGTTCTGCTTGACTTAGCTATACTTCTGCTGTCAGCATCTGAGGCACGAGCTGGAGTTTCTTTCTCCTGAAGTTCAGTGTCTTGCTTTTCACCTATTTCTGATCTCTGATGAGATGTAGTTTTTGCTTTTGAGCTTTCATTCACTTTCTCCTCTTTGGGAAGCTGTGGAAGTGTCCTCCTCTTTCGCTCACCTTGGCTGGTCATAGAAGCAGCTGAACCCGTGCTTCTAATGGAAATACCAGACTCACTGATGTCTGTGTCTAAAAATGAAAAAGAAAAAAATACCTGAGAAGCCATTCAATAGCAAGGTAAATAGAAGCATTAAATTCTTAAGACTGTGTAAGACTAATAAAACAACATAAAACAGAACTAAAAGAAGTCATTAGTCCATCCCTCTGTTCTATGGCAGGATCAATTATGCTTAGACGAATATATGTTAGAAACATTTAACAAGTTCTTAAAAATCTCAGTTGATGGAGCTTTGACTATCCCTATAAGCTATTTGGGTAGATAGCTCTTAAAATAATTTTCTTATTCTTTAACATGAGCTGGACTTTCTCCAGTTTAGCCCATTACTGCTTGTCCTATTCTCATTAGGCATCATTTCCTCTTCACAGGAAAGAGGGGAAACACTCCTCTTATTACAGAGTGGAAACTCTGTTTGTGAATTACATTAACTACCTCCAAACTACAGTAAGTTGTACATAACTAGCTATATTATTTCATTTCACTGTTGCAATACATTTTGTAATAAAACCTGAACAAAATCATGTGCTAACATAATTTAGAACAGGTATCTCCTGATTAAAGAGATGACATATATAAAAAAAATATTTCTGTATTACTAGAAGTAGAATGCTAAGAGTGTCATACAAAAGAACAGTTCATTCTACACAATCCAAAGTGTTGATACAGAGCATGTGTCTATGAAAGCAATGTCTAAAAGGCTGCAATGGAATTACTGCAATAAACCATTTCTGGTTTATCACAGAGATGTGACCAGGACAGAAGAAGCCATCTTCCAAAAGCGTACTAAAACTAGCATATTGCAGGAAAAGGGAAGGAATAATTTCAGAAGCAGGGTAAAAGTGCAAAGACAGAACAACATCCTTTCCTCCTGCTCTGCTACAAACAGGCAGAATTTCTTCCCAAACATGGATAATTTTGGTTGTGATTGAACAATCGCCTGTTTGTGTGGCATCTTGGGCTAATTACTACCTTGCTGACACTCTGTGACTGTATACTGGGAAAGGGAACACTTCATGAACATTTGTGTCATTCGTGCAGAGGGACTATGGTATTTTTTCCTGCTTCATTGTATTTTCAGCATATATATTCCACAATATGGGCTAGGATCGCTGTCATATAAAAAGGAAAGTTTTCATAGATACAAGAACTTGAGTTACATGAGATATGCTCTCCCTGAAATCAAACTCTTTTAGCCAGCTGTGTACACTGGGACAGTGTATATGAAGGTAAAGTTTTTATGCTCAAACAGTAACTTAAAATAGGTACACAACAAATCACTGTTATACCAGCACACCATTACAACAGGGAGTGGGAAGCAAGTCTTAACATTCCTAAACACGTTCAGCACCAGATTTTAAAACTACTGATTAAAGTAAGATCGCCCTCCTTCCTCCCTACTTGCCTGTTCCACAGCTCAAGGTCTTGTCTCACCAAGGGGCTACAGCCTCTCCCTGTGAGACCTCACCTCAAGGAAGAGGCTGCAGTGCTGGGAGACACTCTTTCAGCAGTATTGAAAAGCCCTACTCATGAAGAAAGAACTTACTATGGTTGAGAGAGCAAAAAGAATGCTTTTAACGCAAACAAGACACTGTAGTATGGAAATATATAGAAAATGTATAAAAAGCATCAAAAGAATGCAGTACTACTGCTAAAGCACTTTCATTGAATTCTTAGTGGATATAGAATGCTCTTTAGGCAGAAAAATATGACCATCCCATGAACTGTCACAAGGAATAATTGATGCTGAATACCCCCATTTTGGAAACCAAACTTTTATCTTTTCACAGTGATGACTGTGCCCTCCTTGCCCATTTAACAAACATAGCAGTTGTGCTGTCAGAAACAAGCCTTTATTACTCAGAGATGATATTAATTGCTCTATGAATTGCTCTGACTTTGAACGTTTGGATAGAAAATAATTCTTTTTGCAAGTTCATTTGCCAGTTGTTGCAGTATAATGTGACATAACTTACTGACACACACCTGTCAATTCACTTTTCACCAGGAGAGGTCTATGAACAACTGCTCTGCATACCCTGTTGGGATCTTTCTATCAAGGCTTGCCCACCAACACTGGCTGTTCCAGGAATACAAACTGGAGTATAGGGCTTCCCTCTCTGCAAGAATTCTCTAAGCACTTAATTGAATATCAACAATCATACTGTATGTATACAACTGTACATATTGTACAATTGTACATATCTGCTACTTTCTATCTGAGCTCTTCAATCTTTCTTTTCTCTTTGCACAGTGTCACACCTTTAATGAAGAATGCAAAATGACTCGCACCTTTTTTTGTATAATCCGTGTTAGGACACTCATTTGAGAAACAGGAGGTATCTCTGAAATCTAAGCAAGGTTTTCTAATTCCTGGACTATTTTTCTTGGAAATTATAAAAAATTTGGAGGTTCGATGAAAATCAGTATGATTGCTATCTGTGAAGATTGATTTCTCTCAGACACACCTACCAGATCAAATCTTTTATATATATATTTAGGCATGTAACTTGCTTCTTGGTGAATTTCAAACAGTCTTCAGTGGAAGAAAGGTGTGGAGTTGTTCAGCGCTGTCTTTGGCTACATACATCTTATGTGAAGTTTAGTAAGATTTCTAAAGAAAATACAGGCATCTAAGCCAACAAGACAGATTTTGTGAATTGGTCTTTGGACATACATATCAAATTGTATTTTCATTACATCTTTGGTACTTGAATGCTTTCTGGATTGCTCCTTAAGTATTTGCAGTATGGGTAAGCACTACGCAGTACTTGCTTCACTTAAATCATAAAGTTCTTATAACGGTAAGAGAAGCATTCATCTCTCCGAAGAAGATCCTAGTTAGTGTCTCATCTGAAAGTGACAATTTAAAACAATACAAAAAACAAAAGACCACCAAACCCTCTGATTAACCACCCAAAGGATCAGTCTCAAGAGCTATGATTTCAAGTGCCCTGTATACAAATTTGCTCTTGATTTCCATTATTCTATGTACAAGGTATATCAGATAATTTAATTTTTCCCCTTTTCATCTGCTTTGACTTTTAGTATCCTATGCAAAGTTCAACTGCTGTGAGGGGCGGAAAAGCTACTATGGAAGCAGCAGTTACTGGTAAGAACTATTCCATGCATTGATACAGAAATTTGCATTACGCAACATCAAAAGCAAAATTTCTTTGTAAAGTTCCGCAAAAAGTAAAATGAGACTATGAAGTTGGAATGTATTTTATTGCTTGCTTTAATAAACGGTCTCACCTTCTATGATTTTAAAACCATGTGAGCATACTTCAAAAAGTAAATTCTCAGAAAAATAACTGTATTTGATGAACCAGTTAATTAAATATGCTTACATATACTTTCATCTGCTGAATACAAACCTGAATAGAAATTCAATTACTAATCAATACATAACAGCAGCTTCCTTTTGGAAGAAATTCCCAATAATATTTCAGTTTCACTTTTTTTTTTTAAAGTAGTCAAGTTATTTATTCAACTTTGGAATTAAAAGTCATGTTCTTTCTCTTCCTTTCATTGTGCCAGAATAATACACAGAATTAAAAGCTAACTCTTTTGTGAAGAAGCTAACTGATTTTTTTCTAGCAAAGAATAAATTGTACAGGTAGGATATCTGTAAAGAACATAGAAAGTATCTGAATTAATTTATTAGTGTTATCTAAAATCTGAGGGCAGTAAAATAAATCTATCACAAATCCACTTAGGAAATGCATATATTAGTTACAACTAAGTTAAGGTGTTGTAGGAGAAATAGAGAAAAGTTGAAAGAAAAAAATGTAATTATTGCCTATGGGATTCAAGATTGAGCAGTTCAGACAACGGTTCAGTTCATCTAACCTGGGCCAGGAACAAAGGGAGTTATCTAAACTTACCAAGAAACCTAAAATTTGGGCAGAACAATATGGACAATACAATTATTGGGGTTTTGCCACCTTTTTTTTTTTTATGTATGTCATGTGGAATAGATAAACACTTTAGAGAAATCTCTGCCACTACACTTTTACACTGGTCTAAGGACCCAAGATGGTGGCGGGGGGGGAAAACAGCGAAAAAATCAAAGAACTTAGTAATAGGCAATTTTTTTTCTGCAGAAGGCCTGACTGCTGGGCAGGGTGCTGGGGCCAGGTTTGCAGTCTAAGCAGGGAGAAAATCACAGGGTTCCACTCTGAAAGCAGTAAAGACTTGGTTTTATCAGTTGAAAATGCAGTCTTCTGAGAGACTAACTTATAGGTCAAAGATGTAGATTGCTCTGAAATTGTAACAGACATGGGTTCTTGAAAATCTGAAGAAAGCCAGCAGCTATAACAAAAAAGTAGAGAACACACATTACACTTGTGAATGTAACTTTTGGGAAAAAAAAAAAAATGAAAAAAAAACCCTAAAAAGATGCTCAAAACTATAGAAAAAAAAAAGTTATTCTACTCACCAATGTCTAACAAGAGGTTATTGGACATGTTCTGTAGATGGTAGTATATTTTCAGAAGTGGTGTACACAGAAAAGCATTTCTACTTCTAAAACACATTTTTTCCCGCTAATCTTTTAAACTTTGCTTTGATGCTGAAAATTTCAAAGTCAGCTGGAGTAAGAGGAAATGCTGGAATTGCAGGACACAATCGTATCTCAAGTAGTGGACAGATAATTAGTTACTTCTTGATCACTAAACAGCATATCACTTTCAGAATATGAAGCATTCACTAACATGACATCCCTTTGTAGTTACCAGTCAATTTTGTAATGAAGAGCTACATTAACTCCACCTCAATACACAAGTATCAGCATAAAAATTACACTAGAATTCTGTGTTAAATCATTATCTCTAAGGTGAAATTGAGAGGAAAAAAACAGCAGAGGAGAAGTAAAGTAAGGTAAGCAACTCCTTTATAGTCAAGAGCGTAGATCTTAAAGAACAAACCATTTAAAATAAGAAATGTCAATAGTTTAACTAAGGAGAGACATAGCCTGAACATCTGGCACTCACAAGAAAGAGAGATAAAGTTGTTCATTGCTGAGGAGAAGGTTTCTATGGTTTTCAAGAAACATAGAAGGTTTTCTGTGTTTCCAAGATAAGGAAGTATGCTATGCTTCAGCTGAACCATGACTGAATAATGAAGTCTCAGGTTGGACTGTTTAACAATCAATCCATTAAAGTCCAATTTGGGGCCAGTACTGAGAAAGATGTAAGGAAAGAAACATACTGTGCAGACCAACCCAAACTGCATTCAAGTGGAAATTTTTTTAATATTAAACAGTTTTTATATTTTTTGTTTCAGTAACACTCAGTTTAATATTGGCACTCTTCTGCCATGCCAAACAACACTACTGTTGAGCTCGTTTTTATGCTGTTTCTTCTCAACGACATGAAAAAATTTCAGGTGAAGATGAGGTACTAAGAGTAAGAAAGCTGCTTATGTAGGTACATAATCACTCTTTTCTCCCTTTCATAGGTTTCTTTAGCAGAAATTATGACAACAAGAACAGCTTTTAATACCGTTTTCTAATGGAGCAGGCACAGATGACTCCAATCTGATGTCATCTTGGTCATGACGTGTGTGATTAGCAGCCAAACTGGCCCACTGTGATACCCAACGTTTACTTCCAGGGGTGGTAGAACCTTCCTAATGAAGAAAAAAAGCAGAAGAAAAATTACAACTGTTTGATAAAAAGCATGTCCTTTTTCCAGGTTTTTCCTGAATAGATATGTCAGACACTATTTTCCTGGAGGAAGTTGAAAAAGGAGTTTACCTCAATAAATTTTAGAGTTACCAGCTCTAGAATGGCAAACAAACAAAAAACCAAAATCTATATAGTTGCAGGATCAGTACAGAATAGACAGCATTTCCTAGTGCAGTGAACTTTTAAACATCAGAACCTATATAAAATATATTAGAACATGCGTTAGTTTTAAAACCAGGTTATTTCAGTCCTCAGCTCAGAACAGCAGGAAAAAACACATGGGGTATGTGTGTGGGTGTGTTCAAAAATTAAAAACATGCTTCAGGAAGACAAGAAAGTGACATATTACCCGTTTAGAAGACCTTCTTGTCCAGATGAAACATTGTATTTACTTCATTACAGAAAAACTACCTTAAGGACTGAAAGAGTAAGATAACTTATGATGGAAAGTAAAGGAAGATCAGATTATTTGTTTGGTCTAAACAAAGAAAGACGCAAAGATTAGTTTTAAGCCATCCTAGTGCGTAACAGTGAAGTCAATGTAATCAGTATCTGATCATTTTTTGCAGCTGACCTAGAAAGGAAATTAATTTACTTTCTTGACAGTAAGCCTTTTGAAACCTTGAAAATTTTTAAGATGTAAAAAAAGTAAGTATAAAATTAAACCATCTTCTTATGTTGTGTTGTTATTTTTTTTCAAAAACTCATTTTTAAATATAATGCAATATTACTGTTGTATCCAATATATTATAGTCTCTCTTGCTCACATCTTCAAAAAAAGACAGCAGGCAACTGTCTATGCAAATATATGAGCACAGATGCGCACACACATGGGCCGTACACTATCAAAGGCTTTATAGAAGTTTACATAGTCTAATTTATTGGACTCAAAAGACAAAGCACTGCAAATGACAGAAGTCATTGACTACAGTTCCAAAGGAGTTACATAATCATAGGCAAGTCAAATGAGAAATCACAATTCAAGATCAACAAAAGAGAAGGGAAGCACATGGAGATACCAGTAACTTGCTTAATAAGGCAATTTGTAGGAGCTATTTCAAAGGTTAGCTGAAGCTCTGCTGCCTGCTCAAATCTTGGCACTTCTATTCAAAATGCTGATTTTTGCCTAATGCCTTGGCCACTCTGGGATTCTAGTCTTTGACCAGGAACCAACTCTGTAAATTTTATAAAATTTATTTAGCAGAAATGGAATGATGAACAATGTCATCTAGTGTATGATGACTTCTTTCAAATTAAAAGTTACTTAGACATTTGACAAGACTTGAATTTACAATCTTGAATTTCTCCTGACTAAATGAATGACCCTAATTAATGCAAACAAGTGCAACATCACGAATCTCTTTCAGAGTATTATGAATGTAGTAAGTCAGAGATGCACCAAATCATTTGTTTGAACTATTATACAAATTTCCACATTGTGAATTCATTTCTTAGAATCAAAATGTTATAAAATTCAAGTCTAACAACAGCAAAGGAAGGCAGTTCAATGTTTCTGTTATTTATGGGCATTTCTGAACACAATGCAAGGAAAAGGGTGCCAGAAAGACTATTACAAAAAACCCATGCAAAAATGTGCAGCATTTATGCATTGACAAGTACTGCTGAAGCCTCATTTTTCTTTCATATCTCTAAACTTTCTTTTCTCTATTTCCTGTCCATACTAGTGAACTTCCATCTTTAATAAAACAATTAGTTACAGCAAAAACCAAGTATACTAGACATCCCAATTATCTTTGCTACAGAAAACTCCAACTAGTTCCTTGTGTACCACCTAACCAATTCCAGAGATAGATATGATATGTATCAGAAATCTGATTCCACTTCACAACAGAGAAATATATTAAGACTTTACAGATTAACTGTAGTAAAACAACACGATAAATTACCTTCCTCTGAAAGTAATTACACTGCCAAAAAAAAGCGTTTTCTACATAGCAGTGGATGTAAATGTGTGTTTTGCCAACTCTCTGTATATACTAGCACAAACAACAAAGCTATGAAAAGCAGTTTCTTTTGATAGTAGTTTAAGCACATCCAAAAGGTGAAAGGTTTATAAAACACACATTAAAAAAGTCACATTCAGTTATCCTAATGTTCTCCCTATAATCCATATCAATTTGCATCTTACAGGCTCTCAAGTAAGCAATCCTCCAAATCTTCTCTTGAATACCAAAAGGAATTTCCTGCTCTTTCAGAAAAGCTGGGTTTACATAAGAGATACCAGCCTTTTAACTTTGTGTTAAATCTGCTTTCCCTTATGCTTATCGCATATACAAACTAAATTGGAGTAACAGATCTTCAGAAAATGTACCAACGGATTTCTGTGGACTTATTACTCAGACTGAAGATTTAGGGCTTCAGGCTCTACATCTGAAAAAAACCCACAGCATGCACACATGACACCTGGAAGCATCTCCAATGCTTGGCATTTCGGAGCAGAATAATGGTTTTTTTAAAGTAAATTTCAACAAGCTAAATAAAAAAAAAAAAAAAGAAAAAAAGAAGTCTTTTCAGATACATACTCCAGTCATCTCATGTTGTAAGAATCATATTATGTCATCCTTTCATAAATTGAAGTGCTGTCTTGAAAGCAGTTCTTTTAGTCCCTCCCCTCTCTACCTGCTTCAGAACCATATTCCTCCAGGGGTGATGATTTTCTTTCACATTTCCATACTCACTTTATTTACAGCCAATGTCTTCACATTTGTTCCTGGAACAACACCAACATCTATCTCAAATAGTTCTTTTTCCTTCTGTTGCATTTACTCCACTTACAGAGCAAAACCCAGCGATTATACCAATCTCAGCTACTACTTTGCTAGACTAAATGAATTGTATCAGTCTGTTCTTGTAAGGTAAATCTCCATTCCCTTAATAATCTGAGTAGACTTCTTTGTACCTTCTCTGGTCTTGTACTCACCCTTCTTAACCAAGAAAGGTAACAATTCTAGTGCCAGTGTTTCAGAGGAAGTTTCACCAACACTTTCTACCATGGCGACACCACTTCCCTGTTCTACTGACAATACATTTTCCAGGGTATCCAAGGGTCATATATGCCTTTTCACAGCCATGTGACATTGGTGACACAATCATCCTACATTTCAGTATAGCACCTAAGTTCAAACAAAAAGCAAGTATCAAACTTCAGACTGAATGGTTTGCTCTACAGAAGGACAGGAAATTAGTGTAATTAGAGAGGACAAACAAAAGGAAACCTAGTCTCTAAATACACACAGCAGTTCTCCACTTCTAAGAAGCAATATAGCAAATATTTAAGTGAATAAAGTTATTCAGTATTCAGAATGTCAGCAGTATTATTTATTTTATCTTCGATGGGAAAGACATGAAATGGGCATTCAAAACAGGAAAAGGAACATTGTAGTCAATGGCACTGATGACCCTGCAGATGCAAAACCAGGTTTCTAACTGTGCTGCATTCTTAACAAAAAATTTAAAAAAACCCCACAAACCAAACAAAAACCAGGTATGTCCTTAAGAAGCACATCAAAGACAATACTGATAAACCACGTACATTATTTAAGAACTGTGGTTAGCATAACCGGCCACTGAAAATTAAATGGAAGCTGGATGGATAAATCATAGCCCAAATGTCTGCAGTATTTTTATCAATCAAGCTCACACAGTACAAATAAACAACAACAACAACAACAATATTCTCTCTGTTCTCTATCTTATTTAATTTTTGTTCTTAAATCACACTTACCTTGGTTGGCAAGTGGCAGCTTATAACATAGAAAATAAAAACATTTAAATATTTTAAATGGATGGATTTAGTATTTTTACTGCCTATCTGTAATCATTGAAAAGGCAAGAACCAGTGCATGCAGGCTCAATCCAACTGTGTCAGACATTCACTCTGCATTTTATTTAGTCTCATGACATACATTACTCCAAAGTACCAAAGTGTGTCATATGAAAGGAAAAGCTGAGAATTTCTTTATAAGAAAAGCAATTTTTCAGGTCCTTTCCAAGCACGTTATTCACAATAGTTCACAAGCCCTGTAAAGTTAAGATATTTAAGTTCAGAACAACCTTTCAACCCCAAAATAGTTTTTATAAAATCTTCATAATTTCCCAAGCCATCTTTGGGAGTCCCAAGTCCCCATCCCTGGAGGTATTTAAAAGACGTGTAGATGCAGCACTTAGGGACATGGTTTAGTGGGCATGGTGGTGTTGGGTCGATGGTTGGACTCGATCTTAGAGGTCTTTTCCAACCTCAGTGATTCTATGATTCTATGATCCTTTCCATCTTCCTTAATTGAAATCTCTTAAATTTTTATGCTCTGCTTTTTCTATGTCAATCATGTTCTGAGTTAGATTCTGCTAAATCATCTACAGGTACAACTGTGATGGGCAACTGGAACAAGGTCCACTCACAATCTGAGTGGATGCAAAGCTGGAACACTGAGCTACCCTGTGGTTAGCTGACTGTTTAGCCAAGATCTTCAATGAGGTTTATTAACTCATGATCTGCAGCTCGGTAATGCAGTAAGTCTTCCAAAAAACACAAGCAGAAAAGTTTGTATATGATGAGAACATGATACCCACGTACTTTACAAATCAAACACATTTGCCTCTCCCTTTCCTAATGATAAAACAAACTGAGTGTAAGTTTTGGTAATAAGACTTTAAATATTACAGTCTTCTCTCAATAGTTACCCTCATGATTGTTTTCCATTATGATACTACAAAACACACCTCTATTTTTCTGGATTAGCTTCTCTTTTACTTCTACATACGTATCAATCAACTTCTACTTTTAACTTTCTCTAGTAAGCTTTTTTCCATCTTCATCTGTCCTCATCTCTTCTTACACTAATTCTTGCTATATCCACACTGCTTATGTCAGTTTTGCTCCTTTACCTACCGAACAACTTTCATTTTTTCCCCTATCATGCCTCGTAATAATCTTGTAAATTAAGACTATGCCAAATAACCCATTCCCTTCCCAATATACAAAGACCTTTTTATTCAGCAAAGCATCCACAGTAATAAAAAGGCATCATTCTTGTAATTTCAACCTAAATCAAAGTGAGTTTTACTATGCCATTGCCAGAAGGATTCTTAAACCTGCCCTATGACTACAGAAGTCTGTCTTCTAAAATCAAACCCTGTTGTTTGCAAAATATGACACTTGGAAAGCTCAATTATGTTCATAAAATAAATCACATATTTTTCTGCTGCTTATGAAATTATAGAAATGGAAAAATACCAATACTTTTAATAATCTTGAAAACTGATACGGCACAAAAGAGCTGAATGCTGCAAAAGGCATGAAAAAGAAGACAGAGAAAGATTGTGGTTATAGATTCATGCAAAGCAGCAAGGTGAAAGGCAAAGTTTGTCAAATTGTTCCACATGATATGCCCATGCTGTACGGCAATAATGTGCTCGAAGCAGTAACCTCAGAGAAACTATTCAAACATACTAATCTCGATACAGTAACATACTTAGTGTATCAAGACTGCACAGTAGCTAAAATACAACCATGATAAAGCACACCACCTCTAGGAGAAACAGATACTAAAATCAATGTATTTGCATGGCAGGCACACAAAGTCATACTGTAAGCTCTTGATATATTCCAGAAAATTTGCTTATTTATAAAGTTTGCTAATTTACAGGATCATACTTCAGAAGCAGTTTTCCATGGCAAGTAGAAGTAAGCATGGTGTGCTTCATTACTGTTACCAGGTTAATTCTCCTCCAGTGTGAGCCCGTTCTGTTCCCAACGCATTTCAAGTTATAGCTTATCCATCACAACGATACCAGAATGCCTCCCAAGATTTCACTATGAAATACAATTAACTTCTAGCTTGTGTGCATATTCTGAGTCATATATAAAGAACAGACCTTTTCCTTTGCCTAGTCTTTCACCAGCTGATTAAATTATACCATTTCTGAAGCAACTAACATAAGTGACTTCTCACGAGTGGCATCTCACTGGAGAACTCAAACCATGAATGTAAAGACCTGAAGTCCTCTGGCTCTGGAAAAAAATCTGAAATGTATTATCAATCATTTTTTTCCTAGCTGACTTTGGATCACACATTAAATGCATACACCTTATTCCTGAATTTTAATATAGTTACTTGCTTTGGGCTATAAAACATAACCAGCTTTTCCTCAGTTCTGCTGCATAACTTACAAGAAGCGTATACTGTGCAAACGTGTGTTGCAAATATAATGATGCAAGGAAGCTCCTGCTACATTTCCAATGCACTGGTGTTAGTGCACATAGAAAGGTAGCAAAGTTTAAAACACCTTCACAATGTAACATGGCTGTCTCTGACAGAGAAGTTTTGATAATGCAATAAAGGCCTAAGAAAAATAGAATACTTATAGATCTGAGCTAATATTTTCTAGGCAAGGTTTTGTTTGCTTTTTAACACTTACTGGTCAGTTATTAGTGGTCTCTCTTATTGGAAGAAAAAAGAAGACCATCAAAAATTAAATTCTACCTCTGTGTCAAGAAATCCAGTTGTACTCAGTGGTCTTTTTTCTTCCAGCACTACTGTAGCAGAATTTATAGCCCAATCTTTTACTAAATCTTTCTGGTTCTCGTTGATAACAGGCCTATTATAATCCTGGCTGTCATCCACTCCAAATACCTGAAAATGAAACAAACCATTACATACATTAACCCAATACCATCCTGATACAACGTTCAATGTTAATGGATGGATGGTGACATGCTGGATAGTGAGTTTAAATAATTTTTGTTGTATTATGCTTATCTGTCATCTTGGTGAAATCTACAGCATGGCAGGCACACAAAGTCATACTGTAAGCTCTTGATATATTCCAGAAAATTTGCTTATTTATAAAGTTTGCTAATTTACAGGATCATACTTCAGAAGCAGTTTTCCATGGCAAGTAGAAGTAAGCATGGTGTGCTTCATTACTGTTACCAGGTTAATTCTCCTCCAGTGTGAGCCCGTTCTGTTCCCAACGCATTTCAAGTTATAGCTTATCCATCACAACGATACCAGAATGCCTCCCAAGATTTCACTATGAAATACAATTAACTTCTAGCTTGTGTGCATATTCTGAGTCATATATAAAGAACAGACCTTTTCCTTTGCCTAGTCTTTCACCAGCTGATTAAATTATACCATTTCTGAAGCAACTAACATAAGTGACTTCTCACGAGTGGCATCTCACTGGAGAACTCAAACCATGAATGTAAAGACCTGAAGTCCTCTGGCTCTGGAAAAAAATCTGAAATGTATTATCAATCATTTTTTTCCTAGCTGACTTTGGATCACACATTAAATGCATACACCTTATTCCTGAATTTTAATATAGTTACTTGCTTTGGGCTATAAAACATAACCAGCTTTTCCTCAGTTCTGCTGCATAACTTACAAGAAGCGTATACTGTGCAAACGTGTGTTGCAAATATAATGATGCAAGGAAGCTCCTGCTACATTTCCAATGCACTGGTGTTAGTGCACATAGAAAGGTAGCAAAGTTTAAAACACCTTCACAATGTAACATGGCTGTCTCTGACAGAGAAGTTTTGATAATGCAATAAAGGCCTAAGAAAAATAGAATACTTATAGATCTGAGCTAATATTTTCTAGGCAAGGTTTTGTTTGCTTTTTAACACTTACTGGTCAGTTATTAGTGGTCTCTCTTATTGGAAGAAAAAAGAAGACCATCAAAAATTAAATTCTACCTCTGTGTCAAGAAATCCAGTTGTACTCAGTGGTCTTTTTTCTTCCAGCACTACTGTAGCAGAATTTATAGCCCAATCTTTTACTAAATCTTTCTGGTTCTCGTTGATAACAGGCCTATTATAATCCTGGCTGTCATCCACTCCAAATACCTGAAAATGAAACAAACCATTACATACATTAACCCAATACCATCCTGATACAACGTTCAATGTTAATGGATGGATGGTGACATGCTGGATAGTGAGTTTAAATAATTTTTGTTGTATTATGCTTATCTGTCATCTTGGTGAAATCTACAAATTAAATAGAAGAAATATCTACAGCAATTAAAAAAAGAGCAGAAGTCTATGTCAACACTGTGAAAACTCAAGGAACTGCTAGCTGGAATGGTCAGATATGAAAAAAATGACACTTTGATGAAAGAAACAAAAGGTAAAGCCAAAATCATTATGAAAACCATTTTACAGTCCATTTCCTAATTAAGGAAAAAAAACAATTACTGGAACCATCAAATTTTCAGATTTTTGCCATTATCTTGTGAAAACAAGAAATGCAAATGCTTACATCTGCTACTAAGACGCTTATGAATTATTTCTCTAATACAAACAAAATTTCAGTTTTTCATTTGTCAGGGACTTAGCAGATGTTAGAAGTCCACCAGGTCTCACAAACCATGTAGCCTCATCTCATTCAAGATGTGACTTGCCATAGTTGTTCTACTACACTGTTTCTACTGATACTTGTATTAATCCCTTCCACTTGTGATGGAATAATTTTCCCATGATATTTAAAACCACCACTCATAGAGAAAAATACTAGAAAAATGTTATTATCAAGGCAATTCAGTAATAAGGACTTAAGCAGGAGAGCCAGCAATTCCTGTCAAATTAAGGAATATGAATTGCTCTCAGAATGGATGTATACTTAAAAGCGATTTTAGAGAATATTTTGTATCTTGGAAACATATAATTTATAAAATGTATAAATTTCTGCCTAAGAAATGATAAATTCACTACTATAAGTATTTGGACATTAAAAAAATTACAGAATGAAAACGGAAAACCCACACACATTAAAATTGGCTGCTAAAAACAAACTAACATCAAAAATTGTTTCGTCTTAGAGAAAGGCAAAGAAAAGGAAAGAAGGAAATGACCTTCACAGATGTTATCATCCTGTAAAAAAAAAAATTACTAGTGCAAAAGAGAAAAAGATACACAGATTTTTTTTTTTTCCCCAAAAAAAACCTGTTTTGTAATTCAGTTTTGCACAGTAAAGCTAGAGGACTGGTTTATTAAAATTCTGAACACGGTCAGTGTCTTTAAAATGGATTCACCACTAGATGGCCACAAACCACAATGTTTTTTTAGTGTCTGAGAAGTAGATGAAGGAAAAAAAAAAATAAAGCACCCTGTCATTCAACTCCTGCTTGTGCTCTTCTAAATGTCCAGAAAGATGTTGCTATAGCATTCATACATTTATAACTGAGGAAGCTTTTTCAAATGCGTTGGATTTGTATTTTGCTTTCGTGCAAAAAGCCTGCTTTCTGCAATTCTAAAATTCAGGCAATGCTCCCCAATTTTCATTTAATACATAAATCATGTCTAGGTACACCTATGCACCAGTTGCTTAAGAGTATTTCATAAATATTTCTTTTCTTTAAAAAAGTGTGATATAAGTTTTCTCTTTAATGATATACTTTTGATTTGTGCAGTTGTAGCAATTTTTGAAGATACAAACCAGTTATCATCCACTGCCTCCTCTCTCTATCGCTATTCTGCAGCCACTTTTTTCCTTGTTTAATATAGTTCCATTGATTACTGAGTTTTAGGCGCTCTTTTAAATGAAAGGAAATTCTGATTTTATCACATAAGCACCTAAAGGAAAGTATGAATCCAACACTTCCATATCGAATCAGGACTACAGGAGTAAATTGCTGCCTGTAAATTGCTTCATATTATCTGGTGGCACATTCATTTACCATGTCAAATTTCTTTATTTGTATCACAAACAACAGCACCTAAGGCTTCTTTCTTTCAGTCTTACCTTTTCTAGTACTGAAGTCCTATTTAAGCAAATTTTGTTATTCTTCTCCTATTACTGAAATTACTACAAAACCAAATTTGAATATTGCCTATTTTTTCTGTGAAAGGTAATATGGGTAACAGTAAGACCCAAGTAATAGATTTACATCCTAATACTACTCCTAATGCTCCCTCTGTATATATAGTGAGGATATCATAGGCCAGAAAAGATAAGCAAAATATTTGGGGACACTACTATTAGAAAGAAAGGAAAAGCATCTTCTTCAATAAATGTGTATTTTTGCACTACACATTCATTCTACATCTAGGAGCACTGGCATGTGCACGCACCTGCCCTGTTGAAGTTCCATTGCTACACAACTGTAAAGCTCCTCTTCTCAGCAAGACAGAAGAGATTCACACAAGTGTGATTTAGCCCAAAGACTAAATTTCAGAACTGTGATATGTAAAAACCCTTTGAAAACAACGCCATTAATACATAATTAAAACTTTAAATATGAAAACTATGCAAAAGATAAAACAACTGACTTTTAATATTTGACAAAATTTAGAACATCACTTACATACCTGTCACACATCTGCAGAAAATGAATACTAGCAGAATTTCAGGATTAACCACTTACACTGTTCACCAAATAATGAGAATATACCCTCAACAGAAACAGCCATGGAATAACCTGAAGGTTTCTGCTGGAAACCGTCTCTCTACCATTTAGAAAAATGCTATTTGTACCTTACAGGTTGCTATGATAAGGTATGTGTGCAAACAATGGGCTGTTGTGATTGAAGCCTGAACGGATAGAGACCTATATCTTCCTACAAAGACTGAATAACATTCTTCAAGGCTTCCAATTCTTCAGATGTTTCTGTTCTTTAAATATCTTCACGATTTCAAAGTCACTTAAGGGAAATCTAGGAGATAACCAAACCAAACCAAACAAATCCCGAGGAAATGCTGATGACGCCCATCGCTGCATGTCTTATCTATTTACACAAAAAGACTGAAGTTTTTTTCTGTAAAGCTTGTATTTGTCAGAAGCAGCAGCTACAGCTTTAAACAGAAGCAACTACCACCTGTATTTTGATTAACTCTGTTTTGGGGAAGAAAAAGATGAAGCCAGATTCCAAGATACAGGTTTGGACACAGCAAGTTGTTTGAAAAATGAGAAGAATGGCTTTTGTTTTATTTTTGATAAAGGAGGTAAAGGGAGTCTATGCATTCATTTATGACTTCAAGAACTTTCCTGATCATCTCAAATCACATGTATCCAGCATGCAGCTGTCAACGAAAAAAGTAGTTTCCTAAATCTTTTACACTTTTTTTATATCACTGTAAACAATAAGGACTTTCACAAAATATGATCTTGCATTTTTGGAGAGAGTCTGGGGGATGGGGAGTAATATGTTTATTTTTTAACTTAGGTAGCTGTATGTACCATGAAGAAAACAATTCCTAGAAATCTTTTTTTTTTTAAAAAAAAACCAACAGATATTAATGCTGTGTTTTAAACAGATGTCATTTCAAAATGAAACTACCAGAGAAAGATATCTCCAAGCTAACAGCTTCCTATAAGCAATCATTCTGGAAAGTTAAAGTTTTCTGCCCTGCTCTGTCCTATTATTGTTTATTTTTATGAAATTATATTTTAGCAGAAAGACTAGATTACTCGATCCTGAATGCTTCCATTTCATAACGTTACAAAACAAAACCCACAATAATAATTTTCACAGAATCTTTGAAATCTGACTGACGGGGAAAAATCTAGGCACTGCACCAATCTGCACCATTACATGGGGTTCCTGCAGGGTCTCTGCCACACGGCTGTAATGGTTGAACTGTCAGAAACATTGTATAAACTGTGGTGGTGATGTTTAAAAATAACAGCTTTATTGTTATGAAGCATGAAACAATTTCCATTGCAAATCAGGACATTTTGAATGGCAAGGGAACGACAACAACAACATTGCTGTAGAAAGTCAAGCCCCATTTATGAAATGTACTCAATATAATTTTGTTTAACCCGCAATCCAGTTGACCTCTTAAGCAAATGGATTAACAGGTGATAGACCGCATCCAGTCTTGGTCCCCCCAATACATGAGAGACTTGTCTAACTGGAGGGAGCTCAGCAGAGGCCACCAAGATGGTCAAAGCTGGAGCGCCTTCCTTGTGGGGAGGGTCTGGGGAAGCTGACCTTGATCAGTTTGGAGAAGGGAAGGCTTTGGGGGTGCCTAACAGCAGCTCCCAGTACCTATGGGGAGCATATCAAGATGACAGCCAGGCTCTTCACAGTGGTGCATGGCAGGAGGACAAGGGATAACTCGCCTAAGTTGAAACAAGAGAGGTTCAGACAGGATGTAAAGAAAAGCTTTTTCACCCTGAGGACAGCCAAGCAAGGTTGCCTAGTCTCTGTCCTTGTAGGGTGTGAAGACCCAAATGGATAAAGTCCTGGGCAACCTGTCTGACCTCAAAGCTGACCCTGCTTTGAGCAGGGGGTTGGACTAGAGACCTCCTAAGGTCCTTTCCAGCTTATGTGATCCTGTGATCTTTAATAACAGTGATCCTATGATCCTTAATAACAGTGATCCTAGATAATAACTTAGATAATATCATCTCAGGTCAGCCTTTTAGCTCAAAGAGTCAGTCTTGAGAAAACCCAAAGGGAAATCCAATAATTTCTCAATTGTGGAACTGCCAACACTATGGCTGACTTCTAATGAAGTCTCCTAAATCAGCAGGGAAAAAGGAGTTCCTGAAACATACTTTTCAATTTCAGATCAACGAATGGTAAGCTCTCCAAAGATCCCCCGTGATACTCCATTTAAATTCTGTGGTTCCACCAGTAAAACAAACAGACAAAACAGCAGGCTAAAAATATAGCAAGTCCCAAAGCATCATGCTGTTACTTGCTTGAATGCAAACTCAGCCTGAAAAGTACAGAAGCAAAGTACAAAATAACTGATGGCAAAACAATTGCACCTTGATGTAGATATTAATAAATTTCATCACTTTATCTCAGCAACAGTTATTCTAATATTGTAACTGAGAATATAACTTTATCTACATAAAGCAATAATTTTTAAAATTCTTTATCCAATAACAAAC